TTTTTTTTTTTCGGGATAATAAAAGTGAAGGCGTCAGAGTGCAGTTTTTGAGTCAGTGATGTCACAAGGATGATGTGTCAATTCTGCAATTCGGTTGATGCCTCTGTAAATGATAAGCTTACCTGCTTGACTGCCTCCCGTTTCTAGCATCGCTAGCGCTAAAGCATCCGCCCCGTTCAATAATTACTAGAAATAAGTGCAGTCAATGCTGTTATCAAATGTGACATGAGAAGCAAGGGTGGAGATATCAATATTTCAGGAGGGGGGGTCTAGGCCGGGCAGATGGAGGCGGGCTGGATGCAGTACCATTGACTTAAAGAGCAGTATTTCGTTTTCAGCCCCCCCCCCCCCGAGATTCCCATCTCTAATGAGAAGCCCACTGGCACGTATCGAGTTTGCTAGCAGCCCTCCTGACAAGTAACATACGTAAACGGGTGCAGCAAGTCGGAGCCCTGTTTCACGGCCGCTCAGTAGCGGCGGAACGCCCTGAATTAAGGGGGGGGGGGGGCACTGCCGACTTTTGGTCCCATTCTTTCCATGCAACGCCCATAGGGCTAATGTTAAAATGCCAAAATCAAAGGGGGGCACAGTGCCCCGGTGCCCTCCCCGTTCCGCCGCCTATACGGCCGCTACCAGCGCGCTGCTAGTGCTATCACACCTGTCAAATTGGGTTTCCGTGGGGACATCAACAAGCTCGGTATCTTCAACATTACCACAATATGTGACGTCACCTTGCGAAATGCGATAGCAACGTGGTAGCATTTAGCAGCGTGGCTATTGATCCTCTCTTATGTAAAGAAACGACCATCGCAGAAAAGTCAGAAAAGCACACAAATGCATACTTGAGGGCTGAGGCAGCATTCTCGAAGGCCGAAGCATTTTGTCCGAATCGTTATTGGAGCATCAGTCTTGCAGCATATTTGTCCAGTATTTTTTTTAGGTATTTGATGGTCTACTCGTTTCATGCCTGCTTGTAGCGATTAAAATCAAAGTGTGGGAATAAACTTGAAAAAGTGATTGAAAGAGGCCATAATTAACTCATAAAATTTGAGGTAACTGGTTTTTGTAAGATAGAGGAGATTTTGGTAGCTTTTTAGACCACCAATAATGTATATGACACCATGGACGACTATGACACTGACCCCGCGTTCGATGTCTCTCGGACAGCGAAGATTCTACGCCGTCCGGCCAATCACGTTCCATAACCGCAGCTGAGCCCCCGCTGACCTTGGACGGGATTGGCCGGACGGCGTAGAATCTTCGTCGTCCGAGAGACATCGAACGCAGGGTGAAACGTAGCTGGAAACGCGACCTTGAAACGTTTTGTTGGTTCCTCTGTATTTATGGTCGTGTGGTTCGCTTTTTCATCCATAATAAGTCTAACTTGCAGTTTCCATTGTTTATTTTCCAGAAAAAAATAAGGATTTTAATGCAACACGAGTTGATTCGCATTGATGTGCCTATATCAGTCCCACGCACAAGGGGGAAAAGCTCAAAAAATTGAGCGCTCAAAAAATTGAGCGGGCCCCATTATGAAGGAATAGGCGAAACGATGGTATTTTACAATGCCTCTAGCGTCACACTACGGCAAATATCGTATCCAAATAAGGTATCAATGGCAAGAGGGAGCAACAAGGTTTCTTCTCGAACACTCGCCGTGATAATTTATATCGGTGTTTTTGGAAAGAGAATGCCCTAAAGGCGCTCAACTTTTTGAGCGCCACTTGTCGTTCGGGACCGCGATACTCAATAAATTGAGCGCCACGACAGACGACAGTCAGCTGGCGCTCAAAAAATTGAGTGCCGGCCAGCATCTACACTCAATTTATTGAGCCTTCTCCGTGACAGGTGAAGCCGGTACTGGCTGCCATTTTTGATGTTATGTTCGCTGAAATACGTTAAACTGAGTTGAAACAGATATGCAGGAAGTTGAATGCTACGTGGTACCTAAACTTTTCACAAACCCATGGCATCATGTCACATTTTCCGCTAGTAGTTTTATCGGTCGCCTTTCGGATTCGGCACACCTCAAATAATTATAAAGGACTTGAATAATCCGTATGAATACTGTATTGATATTTTCTGACTGTACTGGGAGAAGGGAATACGTGATTACAGAAAGATATCCACCCACGCTTGAATATTGGAGAATTATACAGGAAAAACTGTATTGCCACGGTTACAACTTACAAGGCCATCGGCCGCAAACAAACAAAAATACTATACAATGTGGGTTAGATTCACAAACATCATCAAGTGTGGAACACAGAGACGAGCAAAACAACATCACATTATCGCATGCCAGCCCGACCACATTGGAACCGGGTGACCTGCGACCGGAACCTGCGTCTTGCCAGCATACATCACAAAAGCAGGAGGCAGTGTCGTACTGCTTTGATCCAAAATGTGCCATATAACAAATGATATAAACGACCTAAGCTCGGACTAAGCTTATCATTATCAAATCCTTAACATGTAAAAGACGAATGGAAACATCGAGTCTCAGACCAGCAGTAGCAACCATCACAGTAGCAATATCACAATGAACACGCGGCATTATCAGACAGCCGTTTTGTTATCGGGCTACAGGCGGCGACGGCGTGGTTGCAGACCAGCTGCGAGGTAGCGGCGTGCGGGCAAAAGGCGCGGGCACACCTCCATGTGGCCGTGCGGACAGTGCGCGGTCGGCGTCGCATAGTGGGCGGCATCGGGCTGTCCCGGGGCCGTCGAAGCCGCACAGGTTGTCGGCGCATGTGGGCGCGCGCGGTCACCACGGCCAGCTGCTCACCACCAGCACAGACTGCGCAGCGTCGCCGCTCCGCCGGCCAGAACACGCAGACAACCCTTCTTGCAGTCGCACAACACGTCGCCAAACTCATTTACCTGCTCCACCATGTTGTTGATGTCACCGAGTCGTTCAAGTTGTGGCTCGTGCCGTCGAGCATGACCTGCCCGATCGGACACGGGTCAGCGGCTTCTGCGCCAGCGAAGTCTTCATCTTGGTGACGTCTTGCTGATCTCCACAAAGGCTGAGCAGATGACCTTACCCACATGGACGGCCGACGTCCTCGCCAGCGACCACTTGGTTGTGCAGACCTGCCAGAAAAAGAAAAGCTGTTTGGTGATCTCAAACGATTTTTTTCTTTATGCAGTGGAACAAAATGGAAAATATGTCATACAACAGGAACTAAAAAAAGATGCAGCCTAGGTCGTCTAAGAAATGGGTGAAACATTGATAAAATTCTTCCTTGAATGAATTCTGCAAATGCTTTTGATAAAATGTGTGGTGATTATAAGGAGACCACTTTACTATAAAATTGCTCAGAATTCCCTATCTGGACCTGTCAAAAAATCCTGACTGCACACCAACAATGAGCATTAAATCTGAAACCTCTACCAGGTACCTAGGGATAATTAAATTCTGATTCGGGACAATATTCCACATCATACAAATAAAAACCTTTACTATATTGAAACTGAAAATGTGATGCCGATCCAGTGACCTAAGGGTCTCAAAGTATAATAATGAATTAATCTATTATAAATTTGGTGGTGACTGCCGACTGGCGTCTGGCAGCCTAGACCTTGAGGCTTGAAAGTGGCCATCCTTTTCCGTTGACTCTGATCCTCCAGATGGAAATGATATAAGGGATCATTTTTATCTTATTTCAAATGAGCCAGTCAGCAAAGTGGCTATCCTGTTTCAGCATTCACACACACAATAGTTGACTGTCAGTCTGTCATGCTGTCAGTGTTGTGAAGTAACGAAGGAGTTGAGTTTTGTTGATTATAAATTGTGATGTTATGTAAAGGACTGGAAAATGAATGTGAAAACTATGGAAACATATTGGCAGAGTATTGTCACTTACTATCAGGACATATGGATAGAGAATACATTCAAATTAATAAGAAATGCCAAATATCAAGGTACTCAATCACTGATAGCAGTGGACTATCATATGTTTTAATGTCAATTATATGAAAGTTAAGACTGAAACTACCTTTTACCTCATCATAACTAATGAAAAATTGTGTGAAGAAAACATTCACAGCCTCTTTGAAGCACTTAGACCACTAAAAAACAAAAATTTTCACGTAAATATGTTGTGTCTCTTTCCCTCAAAACATCATATCGGATGGCGCCACTTTCGTCGACAGTTACTTATCTGCACGCAAATCGAGGAAAACGTGAATTGATTGACGTTTACGTGTTTCCAAATTTAACATCACAGCATATTCAAACTTTTCAGTGTACCTTTTAACATCTAAGTATAACTAAAACGATAAAAACTTACCTTCAACACAAGGACGACGACAACCACGCGACCGGAGACGTCGCGACGAAATAAACCAAGGCCCTATATACCAGGTAGGGTCGTCCGGCGATTCTACCTTTTCGTGACGTCAGCTCGTGACGTCATTTGGAGTCAAGTCTCGAAGCCCCGTTCAATCCCCATATAAATGAGCGATTTTCGAAGCACTGTAGAATGAAGTCTGCACAAGATATATCAAACCTAAGTATCTTATCTGAAAGAGCAGACAATTTTCTGCAAGTTATCTATTACGTGTTTTTCGCTAAATCTTTTGCTTTTTTCACAAAAGCGTAAAATGTCCCCCCATGTCTCCGCAGCCTCCCTGCCGCCGGCCGCCGCGCGGTCGCGGTAGTGTAGTGGTTAGCGTGCCCGCGCAGTATTCCAAAGGTCCCGAGTTCGAATCTATGCGGTGCGGAACTTTAATTGCAATTCCAAGCTGAATATACGCACATCCATAATAAATTATTATTCGTATAGCTAAACTGTCACCAAGCTATCCATATAAATTGACTTCACCCAAAATATCGGCAAGATTCTATTAAAATATAAATTCAAATATGGCGGCTTGGACTGCCGCGTGCGTTAGGCTCCGCCCATAGCTCCGCCCACATGCGTGACGTCATTCGTGTTAGTGGACACGCAGAGAGATAGGGGACGACATGGGCCTGGAAATAAACAAACGGCGCCGCCAAATGAAAAATATTCTCCGATATGGGTAATGTGAAATTGAGTCGCAATCATTTTGGGTAGTATGAAAAATGCTCTTTCCAACAGAACCCTAGTAAAAAACGTGAATGGACAAAAAATAACTTTTATTTCGACATAAGTATTGGCCTGTTTTTAAGGCATCCTGGTATGCCGTAAGATTTCGACCTAGAAATTGGTGTTCCCCCAATCATTGAAGCTTGAGCAGTGAAAAATATGAAAGCCTAATCTGTTTTGCACCATTAGTGATTCTCCTAGGGTGTTGCCATTTCTCCCTAGGTGTTGCGAGTTGCTTTTGCAAAACGTGTTCCTGAAACGGCTCAATTTTTTGAGCCCTCAGCATTACGCCTATGGGAGCCTCTGACGTCACACGCTCAATATTTTGAGCGCTCAATAATTTGAGCTTTTCCCCCTTGTGCGTGGGACTGATATTTCTTTCTTCATGGTAATGACGCATCTGTGACGTTCGCGATTCAGTCTGAGTCATAAGGTAAGGGCTAAACTAAATTGATATTTAATTAACATTTTCTGGACGAAATTCTCATCATCATTTATCAATTTGTAATTAAATGTTAAATATATTTTTTGTCCGTGCAGCGAACATGTACTCCGCCCCAAGTGAGGTGGAGTCGGCGATCCAGTCAGTGCTGAGCTCACTCAACCTACATTCGCTGAGCACGGATGAGCTCAAACAGCTTCTTAATGAAGATGACAAGCTAAATGACAAGATAAATGATGCTGGAGCTGTGAGTATGAATTGCACATCTTAATTAAATGGGTATTAGTAAGCCTGGCGTCACATGAAGATACCAGATGTCAACGGTTGAGAAATTCCCTAGATATCTAGAGATATTCCTCGGAACGCTGTGTATACTAAAGTTACTGTCCGTCGTCCTATTACCAATGTTAAGGTCTCAAACAATTCCCCAATTCACGGACTACCTTCACTGAGGTTCATGACCTCCAAGGTCATGACCTTCCAGGTCAACATAAAGGTCAACCGACGGAAACCGCTCTGCATGCCAAAGTTAGCGACTGATATCCAAAGTTAAGGACTCAAACGATTTCCCACGTCACGGACTACCTTCACTGAGGTTCATGACCTTAAAGGTCATGACCTCCCATGTCAACTTCAAGGTCAAATGACAGAAAACGCCCTACACGCTAAAGTTACCAAGCGATCAATAAAGCTAAGGTCTCAAACGATTCCCCGATTCACGGACTACCTTCGCCAAGGTTCGTGACCTCCAAGGTCATGAACTTCCAGGTCAATATCAAGGTCAAACGACGGGAACTGCTCTGCACGCTGAAGTTAGCGACCGATTTCCAAAGTTAAGGTGTCAAACGATTCCCCGATTCACGGACTACCTCCACCGAGGTTCATGACCTCCAAGGTCATGACCTTCTAGGTCAACATCAAGGTCAAACAACGGAAACCGCTCTGCACGACAAAGCTAGCGACCGATTACTAAAGTTAAGGTCTCAAACGATTCCACAGTTCACGAACTACCTCCTCCAACATTCATGACCTCAAAGGTCATGACCTTCCAGGTCATTACCAAGGTCAAATGACAGAAAGCGCCCTACACGCCAAAGTTACCGCCCGATTACCAAAGTTAAGGTCTCAAACGAATCCCCGATTCACAGAATACCTTCACCAAGATCCGTGACCTCCAGAGTCATGACCTTCCAGGTCAACATCAAGGCCAAACGACGGAAAACGCTCTGCAAGCCAAAGGTAGCGAACGATTCCCAAAGGTAAGGTCTCCAACGAATTCCCGATTAACGGACTACCTTCACTGATGTTCTTGACCTCCAAGGTCATGACCTTTCAGGTCAACAACAAGGTCAAACGACGGGAACCGCTCTGCACGGCAAAGTTAGCGACCGATTACCAAAGTTAAGGTCTCAAACGATTCCCAAAGTTATGTCAAAAACCTTTTTTTTCGCGAAAACTTTTAACTCCCAAAGTACTCTAAATATTGATCAGGATCACAAAACTTGTAGAAGGGGGGGGGGGACTTTGCTGATTTTAAGTCACATACGAGCGAAACGAGCGGCGATCATGCCCCAGCCTGTACATAAAGTGTACATATGCGGTACCTAGTAAAAAGGAGGTAGGCGGAGCGGTTTAAATCACGTGTTTTATGGCGCGCCTTTTATTTGGCGCCAGCCGGCGCGCGCTCCGACTCATTCCTTAGTTGCGTGCAAGTTGCGCGCTGGGTAGCGGGTATGGCCGATCCCGACATGTTCCAGTTCATCCGGGATATTTCTAGTGAGGATGATGCCATAGACTTTTGCAGATGGGCAGGACTCATTCCAGCTCCTCAACCTGTTCCTCGAGATCCGGCCCGACCGCAGCGGCTCATTCAGGACTTCTGGGGGATATGTGGAGAGCTGAACTTCAACCCAAATCTGCCACAGTTTGACGGAAGGGTCACCACCGCGATACGGCACTTTCGAAATGGGCCAAAGCCTCGGTTCAGGTGCGTAAAATGTCGAAAACAGCTGTCTCAATTGCACGGCATGAGGGCAGTGAACCCAGCCGCTCACCATGGCACTTGGTTCGCCTCCCTGGATGCGGCCGGCAGGCCGAACGTAAAACTGTCCAAACGGGCGGTGTTGTGGATAATGTACAGTCCACAGCAGAAGTAATGTGGGCTTTCAGTCATGGGTATGTTCTGCTTCTGAAGCTTAGGAACGAATAGCCAGACTACAATGAAACTTTGAATGTAGCTTATATGTATCGTCACCCTTGCAGCTGCAACTTTAGCTATTGACATCTTCTTTTCGATCACTCCGCATTAAACAATCGCCAGTCAAAGCCAACCGTTGAGATTGGTAAAACCCTACATTACTTTAGCGGTGGGCTGTACATATGCGATGGCGAACGGCATGTCTGTCACCCAAACGGCCCACTACTCTCGCCAAGTGATGCCGATATCGAGAGTCGCTATCATCGACTGGCGGCATTACGTTCGCGAACTGTTCGTGACGGCACTGGACGTGGCCGGTCCTATGGGAGGCCCAGGTGACATCGTCGAAATAGACGAGAGTCTTTTTCGAGGCAAGAGGAAGTATAACCGTGGGCGGATGCTCCTGGGAAATGTTGGAGCCGGAGGAGCTGGAGGAGGACCCGGAGGAGCTGGAGGAGGACCAGGAGGAGCTGGAGGAGGACCCGGAAGAGCTGGAGGAGGACCCGGAGGAGCTGGAGGAGGACCCGGAGGAGCTGGAGGAGGACCCAGAGGAGCTGGAGGACAAGGAGGAGCTGGAGGAGGACCTGGAGGAGCTGGAGGAGGACCCGGAGGAGCTGGAGGAGGACCCGGAGGAGCTGGAGGAGGACTAGGAGGAGCTGGAGGACAAGGAGGAGCTGGAGGAGGGCCCGGAGGAGCAGGAGGAGGACCAAGAGGAGCTGGAGGACAAGGAGGAGCTGGAGGAGGGCCCGGAGGAGCTGGAGGAGGACCAGGAGGAGCTGGAGGAGGACCCGGAGGAGCTGGAGGAGGACCAGGAGAAGCTGGAGGACAAGGAGGAGCTGGAGGAGGACCCGGAGGAGCTGGAGGAGGACCCGGAGGAGCTGGAGGAGGACCCGGAGGGGGAGGAGGACCAGGAGGAGCTGGAGGACAAGGAGGAGCTGGAGGAGGACCCGGAGGGGGAGGAGGACCAGGAGGAGCTGGAGGACAAGGAGGAGCTGGAGGAGGACCCGGAGGAGCTGAAGGTAGTCCGTGACTTGGGGAATCGTTTGAGTCCTTAACATTGGATATCGGTCGCTAACTTTGGCGTGCAGAGCGGTTTCCGTCGGTTGACCTTTATGTTGACCTGGAAGGTCATGACCTTGGAGGTCATGAACCTCGGTGGAGGTAGTCCGTGAATCGGGGAATCGTTTGAGACCGTTTGAGACCTTAACTTTGGTAATCGGTCGGTAACTTAGGCGTGTAGGGCGCTTTCTGTGATTTGACCTTGGTGTTGACCTGGAAGGTCATGACTTTGAGGGTCAAAACCTCGGTGAATGTAGTCCGTGAATCGGGGAATCGTTTGACACCTTACCTTTGGAAATCGGTCGCTAACTTTGGCGTGCAGAGCGGTTTCCGTCGTTTGACCTTGATATTAACCTGGAAGGTCATGACCTTGGAGGTCACGAACCTTGGCGAAGGTAGTCCGTGAATCGGGGAATCGTTTGAGACCTTAGCTTTGGTAATCGGTCGGTGACTTTGGTGTGTAGGGCGTTTTCTGTCATTTGACCTTGAAGTTGACCTAGGTCATGACCTTGGAGGTCGTGAACCTCGGTGAAGGTAGTCCGTGAATCGAGGATTCGTTTGAGACCTTAACTTTGGTAATCGGACAGTAACTATTGCACCGTGTGCCGCAACCGGGTGAAGAGTGCGCAGTGTCAGGCCAGATCGTCGTTCTTTCTGTCATCCTACCGTCACGCGAGGCGGACAACATGGACTGACATCAGGCGGTATCTGATCGCACCGAGGGGAGGCGCACACCGCACCGACACGTGTGAACGTGGCAGTCAGTGGGCTGAGAAGCTCAACGCGCACTTCGCTACGGTGGGGGCTCGAGTGGCGAACGCATTGGAGCAGACTCGGAATGGGGCGGACCGACTGCCCCCGCGCCCCTCCCGCGTGGTGAGCGGTGCGTTCAAGGTGCGACCGGCAACTCTACCGGAGCTGTCAGCAGCGCTCCAGCGAATGTCGACCTCGAGGGCGAGCGGGGATGATGGGATTACCATTGAGATGCTGCGCATGACATTTGAAGTGACTGGGCCGCATTTACTTAGTGTCGTGAACTCTTCCATTGTGTCGGGAGAGCTGCCAGTGTCGTGGAAAATCGCAACAGTTTCTCCCATCCATAAAGCAGGGAGTACAGCAGACCCCAGCAATTACCGGCCCGTATCAATTTTGCCGACTGTCGCGAAGCTGGTAGAGAGTGTTGTCTGTCTCCAACTGATGTCGTATCTACTGTCACACAACATACTCTGCGATGAACAGCATGGGTTCCGGCCGGGCCGATCCACGGAGTCGGCGATGCTGGACGCTGTTGGGTATTTAATGGACGGGATGGACCGTGGACTCATTGGCTGCCTTACCACGGCCGATACGTCCAAGGCGTTCGACAGCGTTCGGCATCCCCGGCTCCTGGAGAAGCTCGGCTGGTACGGGATTGATACCCACTGGTTTGTGAACTGGCTCGGCGGGCGCAGACAGGCTGTGAGAGGTGGTACAGGTGACACGCTGCCCATTACGCATGGCGTGGTGCAGGGGTCCCTGATCGGCCCAGTGTTATTTTTAATTTTTACAAACGATTTAGTGTCCTACATAGACACAGAGGAGTCCAAAATAGTCATGTACGCCGATGATGTCCAGTTTTTGCACCGGAGTAGACCCGACGATCTGTCTCAACTGAAAGCGAGTGTTGAGCGCACCGTAGCCACCGCGCACAGTTGGTTTAACGAAAACAGTCTAAAAATTAACCCCACTAAAACGGATCTTATTCTTATCAAGTCAAACAGGAGGTTGTTAACCTCTGAATTTTCTGTTCAACTTGGCGATGCTTCAATCAGACCGTCTTCAACGGTGAAAGTGCTGGGGATGGATGTAGACGCAGGGCTGACTTTTGAGAAGCATGTGTCTGGCACAGTCAGACGCTGCTATGCCACACTCGGAGGCCTATCAAAAATGGCTGGCAAATTGCCGGAGTCTGTAAAGAAAATGATTGTAGAAATGCTCATCTTTCCACATCTCGCCTACTGCTCTACTGTATGGGCTGGTTGCAACGCCACCCAGCGCCATCGGCTACAGAAAGTGGTAAACCACTGTGCGCAGGTGGTGAAGGGGGCGAGGAGACGCGACCATGTCACGCCGTTGTTAGCGAAACTGGAGTGGCCGTCACTCGACAACCTTGTGGCCGAGCGCGACGCATCGCAAATGCACTACTTGCTCAATAACGACCAAGCGCCAACCGGCCTCACGGCCCAAATCGCACACCGCAGTGACGTCTCCACCAGGGACACGAGGGGCTCTCTAGCCGGCTCGCTGCAGATCCCTCGAGTGCGCAGTGAACACGCACGGAAGTCGTTCTTTTGTCGTGCTGTCTCACTCTGGAACCGCGCTCCTGCGGAAGTGAGAGAGTCCCGCTCTGCCAGAGTCTGTCGGAGAAGGGCGAGAAAGTGGCTGACGACCTCCACCTAAATAGGACACTGATACTTTTTTAAATGGTGTTGATAACTTTTAGGCGTGTTTCATGTGTATTTTAATATTTTTAGTGTAGGGTGCAATCTTACTTTTATGCTGCATATTTTACTTTTAATAGGTACCTGGTTTTATGTAAACCTGACACTTGTTCCGAAAAGCCATCGAATGTGGACGAACATAAGAATACATGATGATGATGATGACGAACTAGCGTACACAGCGTTCCGAGGAATATCTCTAGATATCTAGGGAATTTCTCAACCGTCGACATCTGGCATCTTCGTGTGACGCCAGGCTACTAATAGCATTAAATGCTTTGTTGATTTTTGAAGGTTTTTAAACTATTTCCTGAACACCTACGCAATTAATTTTAGATATTCAGCCAATGTAGTCCATTTTTATGGAAGTGTAATTTAAAGCACTCCATTGGTGGTACATAAACTCAGCAGCATTTTTCTATTCTGTAATTACCTACCATTCATAGCAGCTGCTTGCCAAAGTCATTGCAAAATTTAAGAAAATATTCCTAACTCCGTTTAATGTACATGCTTCAGATCCAGGCATTGCGCAACAAGCGTGACTTTGCAGTGGCTGGCAACAAGTCGTTGGCTGAGTACAACCTGTCACGCCAGCCACGTATCATGGAGCTCAAGAGCCTTGTGCGTCAGCAGCTAGAGGAAGCCGAGAGCCAGGAGCAGCAGATCCGAGAGAAACGAGACAATCTCAATGGTCAGTCAAGTTTGAGTGACAGGCTTGTTCACCATGCATTGTTTTTACCTGTGTACTGTCATCACCTTTTCAGCTTGGTTTTTGTTTTTGATTTGGTTTGAATGTTTGGATGTACTTCTGAAACTGAAGCCAACTGTTCAGATCCTTACCAGCCTGAGTGACATCTGACCAGTGATTATGACCATTGGGCCAGTCCGTCCCACTCGCCCAATTTGACTGGCCGCTGCTGTAACGTTACGATGATTGTCTGTCCCTCTCTGGCAGTGGTTGACCAGCCGTTAATGGTGTAGTGGGTATGATGATTGTTTATCCCTGTCCGGCAGTGGTGGACCAGCCACTGGACACGACGCTGGCGCTGCTGCAGACGGCCGCCGCTCAGGCCGAGGAGGAGTCCGAGGTGAGAGACAGTCGAGGACAGACAGATAGACATACAGACTGGCAGACGGCCGCCGCTCGGGCCTAGGAGTCCGAGGTGAGAGACAGTCGCGGACGGGTAGACCGGAGACACATAGAAAGACATACAGACAGACTGGCTGATGGCCGCCGCTCAGGCCAAGGAGTCTGAGGTGAGAGACAGTCGCGGACAGACTGGCAGACATACAGACTGGCAGACGGCCGCCACTCAGGCCAAGGAGTCTGAGGTGAGAGACAGTCGCGGACAGACTGGCAGACGGCCGCCGCTCAGGCCGAGGAGTCTGAGGTGATGAGCAAAAAGGAGACAGCCGTGAACAGACGGACTGGAGACGCATACAGACAGACGGACAGACAGACCGAGGACACACAAATTGGTGACTGGATAGAAAGACAGGCCGGAGACAGACAGACCGCCGTTCTGTGTCAGACTAGCATAATTGGCTGCTCGCTGACGGAACTGACGGCTCGCTGACGGGACTGACCGCCACCCACCTGCTCCGACAGAACCTGGTGCAATCGATGCTCCGTGGCGAAATGTCCATCGATAACTTTCTGGAGCTCTACCTGCCCAAGCGGCAGACGGCCATCGCGCGTCGCGTCAAAGTGGACAAGCTGAAGGAGCTGCTGCCGTCTGCGGCGTCCTCTGGGGGCGGCGGCGGCGCCAGCGGGCGGTACCGACCGCCGCCGAGCTCGGTGCCCTACCCACCCAGCTCGGTGCCGACGCCATACCCGGCCAGTCCGGCGGCGCCGTACGGCGGCGGCGTGCCCTACCCGGCCAGCAGCGCTCCCGGCCCATACCCGGCCGGCCCGGCGTACATGCCGGCCCCGCCGGCTATGCCGTACCCGTACGTGCCCGGAGGCATGCCTCTGCCGCGGTACTGAGCCGCCGTCAGGCAGCTTTGGTGTGGCGGGGGACCGCATGGATCGGCTGGATTTCCTATTGCGCTATTTGCAACATGTGATCACACTTATATTGAGTGACAGCGGCACGCACGCATGGTGTGGGGCTCCGCCGTCGCACGACTGATATCGATATTTGCCCGAGTGTTATACCGATGAATGGTAGATGCAGCATGTCAATATATGACGGAAACGCCAGGCGAGTGCTGCAAGTGCTGTTGCGATAGTATCATTCTTGTATTCTCTATTGCACCAGGTTACACGCGGGCATGATTTACATGGCAAGAGTGTGCCGCTAGCTTCCTCGTCCAGTAGGGATCAGCTCATATTCATCAGTCGTATCGCGCTACTCGTCAGGTAGTTATCTAGCGTCAGCCCGGTCGAAGGGCAGGAACAAACGTCTCATACGTCCTGTTACAGGTAAATGTCCGATATGCGGATAGCAATGCGATCACTATCAGTTGTCGGACATCCTTCCCATAAGTACTTCTTTGACATTATTTGATGGGGGACAAAGTTACTAATTCTGTCGGTTATGACAGGCGGTAGGGCTGGGTAACTCGCCGGCTTGTTTTTTGCACATTTGCACGTCGCACGGTGCCACAGCCACAAGCTCAGTCCCACAGCTATATGCTCAGCCACCCCGCTTTTGCGCTTCACGATCGCCATCTTTAGTACCGGCGGTCACTCGCGTAGTCCACCCAAAACACCGAGTCAGTCAACAATAACAGAAATTACCCGGCGCACTTACCGCGGTGCGTCTAAAGTCCGTCAAAAGGCGACTTATTCCCCGTGGCTAGACCAGCTATCTACTGACTCGGGTGTCAGGGCGGCGGCGGCGGCGGCGGCCGGGCCGGGGAAGCGCCGCCGCGCGCCAGCCCGTCGTCCGTCAGCAGACCCACATACGCGGCCATGGCCAGGATGGCGGCGCACACGACGAAGCCGCGCACACGCTCCTCGCGGCGGTCGCGCTGCTTCTCGGCGGCCATGGCGTACTCCTCGCGCGACTTGGTCTCCCGCGAGCGCAGCTCCTGGTAGTGGGCCTGCCGAACGCGGTCAGAAGTCAGTCATTTTCACAGGGCAGCGATGATGCACGCCCAAAGGAAAACAGCGCATGGCTTGCTGCTATATTAGCTACATGATTTCATTTGCAAGGGAGCATCTGCCGTTTTATTGCAATGGGCGACGTAAGGATATTTTGCAAATCACTTTCATTTATACTTTCTACTTTCATGATTTGTTGCGAACATGGATGAATGTCATTTCATTGTTCATTAACGAAAACCATTGCAAAACGGATATGATACTAGACATCGTAACTACAACCTTGACAACGTACTGTGCCTATGCTAGCCAGTGGGCTGTCCCGTGGGTATCTCTGCACAGTGCACATGCCCGGTTCGAATAAGTGTCTTTTGCAGGGACAGTGCTGATACGTCTCCAGGAATTGAGCAGCTCGCCCAGCGGATCGCCAAGCTCCTCGAACCTCAGCTGCTGGCCGCCGTGCAGAGATCACGTCCGTCGCGTGGCCGTCCGTCGCGTGGCCGTCCGTCGCGTGGCCGTCCGTCGCGTGGCCGTCCATCGCGCGCCGCGCCGGCTTCTGGGACCGCTGGGCAGGCGCCGCAGCGGCCGGCCGGGGCGACCGGGCCGCCGCGTGAGCAGGCCGCCGGCCGTGAGGCGGCGCCGCCGCCGCCGACGCCTCTGGTGCGGCAGAGAGCTGCTGGCGGACCACAGCGTCGCCGCTGCCACCACCGCCGCAGCTACCGCCGCAAGCCGGCCGCGCAGCCACTGCCCACCCAGCGGACCCGGAAACAGCGTGACCTGTCTTGGCGGCGCGCCAATAAAAGGAGTCAGCTCGCCCGACAGACCGAGAAGCTTCTCAACTCTCACAAACTTGCCGCCGCGCTGCAATATCCCAACATCACCATGCCGCCTGGTGGAACTGCGACGCCCGAGACCGGTCCAGACTCGACCAGCGCACCCCTGCTCAAATGGCCGACGCCATATTGAGATTGACTCGATCGTGGGACCGCGCCCTTTCGGGCAGTTAGCGTGTGACGTCATACAGGTGTGTGCCGACATGACGTCGCAGAGCCCGGCAGGTGCATCACAGCGAGAGAAGACGCAGCTTCACTCACTTGGTTTACGCCCCACAAATTCAACAGGAAAAAAGTCAATCGCAAATGAAAGCGACAAACAGGAGTGGGCCATACCTTATTGAGAAAACGCACAATTCTTCACAGCATAAAAGCCACGCACCCTACTTGGAATTCCGCAAAGGACGCAAAGGAATGCAAAGAAGATTAAACGAATGCTTGAGGAGCCCTGAACTGCAGCCAAGAGGGACGTACAAATATTGTGAAATGGTCTGCCAAGACTGCCAAGACTGGTCACTTGGCTAACTCCAATCGGTATTACTTTTTGTCGGAATGATGAATGAAGCGATGAGTACAAGTTTATGATGAAGTCATGCGAGGTAGTAGTGTAACGTCTAACTATCTCCCATAAACCGTCAAACAAAGCAAAACTTATTTCAGAGCTGATGAGAGCTTTGTGGATAAAGCTATGAATCTGCATTGCCGACATTATATGTGTGTGACATTATTGTATGCTTCAGGCACCAAACACTTATCTGCGTAATGCGTTGGGCAGAGCAGTCTTGACAACGCCGTTTGCCACTAGCTGCGACCGAAGGTCCTTAAATCTTAATCATGAAACATCATTGACACTATTTATAGCCACCGTGATTGACACAACTTTATCACCAGTAAAATAAAAGAAAAAAACACGACAGTCTGCCTTTCTGCCACATGCAGTGCGTTTAAAGACGCCAGGAACGCGCCAATCAGATGCGGCTGGACTCTGGAGGGCGGGACGTCTAGCACAACTCTGCGTATGTTGCAGATGGGGGAGGGCAATCATCAAGGTTCCCGTTATATGGGTCAATGGAACAGATCGGTTACCTAGTTCGCAAGATAAACTCGGGAGGGATACACTAGATACTCCTCATCCAATAAGAATTGGAATAGAGAGAAAAAGCGTGGGAAAACGGACTAACACCATCAAAATCTGACAGTGATCTCACCTGTGACCAGGCGTCATAGTCGAAGTGCGCCGAGCGGCCCGTGTGCGGAGTGGCCGAGCGGCCGGCCGGCGGCGCGTGGAAGTCGGGACCGTGCCGCGCCGGGCCCCGTTGGTGGCCGTGGTGCCCGTGCCCGTGGTGCCGGCCGCTGTCGTACACTCGCCGCCGGTGCCGGTTACCCAGCACCTCGTAAGCGGCGCTGATCTGCTGGAACTTGATGGCGTTGCCGCTCTTCCGATCTGGATGGTACTTCTTGGAGAGACGGAAATAGGCAGCCTTGATATGCTTGGAGGAGGAGCGTGGTGTCACACCCAGCACATCATAAAAATTTGGTTCTGCTGAGGACAGGTCACGTTGGCAGCTGCCACCACAGATGGCTGGTGTTGTGAGTACGCCGGGCCTCTGGAGCAGTCGCCAACCACACAGCTGCCAGCACAGGAAGTCAGTGTTAAAAGCAAATTAACACTTAACACTAGAATGATAATAGTTTTGTGCAAATGAAAAAAGAAAACCAACACATAGTGAGTAGGTAGTGACTATGAATAGGTACCTATATCCTGTGAAAGTAGCTTATTTGTATTAAAAATGACAAAAGGTAACTTTGTTAGCATGTTGTACAATTGTACATGTGTTAGAAGCGGGGGACCATCAAAGCGTCCAAAACCGCAGCATCCAAAGTACGCATCATCCAAAACCGCAGCGTCCAAAGTACGCAACGTCCAAAATACGTCCAAAATCGGGTATATAGGGAGCATTCACAACGTCCAAAACCGAAACATCCAAAACCGCAACATCCAAAACGTATCATCCAAAAACGCAACATCCAAGGACGCATCATCCAAAGTACGCAACATCCAAAGTACGCAACATCCAAAACCGTTAGGTTAGGTTAGGTTAGGCTAGGTTAGGTTAGGTTAGGTTTCCTTATCCCCGGTAGGCATAAATCAGTAGGTTAGGTTAGGTTAGGTTAGGTTAGGTTAGGTTAGGTTAGGTTAGGTTGGGTTTCCTTATCCCCAGTAGGCAAAAATCAGTAGGTTAGGCTAGGTTAGGTTTGGTTGGGTTAGGGATAGGCAAAAATCAGTAGGTTAGGTTAGGTTAGGTTAGGTTAGGTTAGGTTAGGTTAGGTTAGGTTGGTTTTGGATGTTGCGTGCCTTGGATGTCGTGGTCTTGGACGTTGTGGTTTTGGAGGTTACGTGCTTTGGATGTTGCGTTTTTTGGATGATACGTTTTTGGACGTTGCGGTTTTGGATGTTTCGGTTTTGGACTTTGTGAATGCCCCCTATAAACCCGATTTTGGACGTATTTTGGACGTTGCGTACTTTGGACGCTGCGGTTTTGGATGTTGCGTACTTTGGGTGCTGCGGTTTTGGACGCTTTGATACGGACCCGATACATTCATGCATTGAACTACGAAAGTTCTGAATTACTAACAGTCTCATGAACACTCATGACTCAATTGTTATTCAAAACAGATTCAGAAGAATGTAGAACAAGTGCCATACCCAGAAGCAGGAGGATTTTCTCCATTGATGCAATGGAACAGCCATCTAATGATGCTATTATCTCGAGAATGGAGGCCTATTGAGCCATTCCGAGAGAACTTAAAATAGCTGTTCAGCCAAACCTCCTGATGAGCAGGAATACTGAAAAACAAACCAAAATGTTTGAGCAATTGTCAGGATGAGGTCAAGGTGATGTGATTTCGTGAGCTCTAGAGATGAGCTCAAGGGGGCATTAGTAGAGCTCAGACGTCACACGAAGGTTTTCCAACCGAGGAGAGGCGCAGGTTTGTAGGTTGTAGGGTAGGTTTGTAGGTTGTAGGTTGTAGGTTAGGTTAGGTTAGGTCTGGTTAGGTTAGGTTTGTTTAGGTTTTCCTCGAAAGAAGCACCACCGGGTATGGCGCCTCTCCTTGGTTGGAAAACCTTCATGTGACGTCTGCTCTATCTCTACCAATACCGGCAAGGGAGGAGTGGTGTTCCAAGCCTTGGGAAATGGGAGGAGCATGAGATGTACACAGTACATTGAAGTGTTGCAAGAAATGTTGACAGCATTGAACCATATTTATTGCACAATATTTCATTAACATAGCTTAAGCCATTCATTAATCATATATTACAAATCTCAATTCCAGCGGATGTAAATCTTTATTTTATCAGTCATCTTGAATACGATGGGATAATTGAAGTGAGTGAACTGGGCGGCTATGAGGAGGTAAATCCATTTCAGTTGGGCAAACTAGACTTTTGGAATCAAAATATGGAGGCATCAATAATTTGATTCTGGTGGGAGGAGCCATGACCAAATATGGGCATGGAATCAATTTTTTGATTCATTTGGGTACACTTTTACTTCAAATGTACCGTTACGGTTGAAAAAAGGCCCATGACGGTGAGATTTTTCTTTAAAAAGGTAGAAAAATGTAGTAGGTTTGCAAAAAGTGTTACCTCATAGCTAAGAAATTGTCCCTTTGGCCTTGTGAATGGGAAAAAGACAGAGCCACTGTCCATCACGTAAAGCTGTTTTGAGGAAATCACGCTGTATGTTATTTTTGTATCATGAATCACATCCTAAACAATCAGTATTAGTGTAAAATGGCAAAATGAAATTTTTAAACCCCTAATTATCATTGTTGTAGTGCTTTTATATTATTTATATGGGTTTTACCTGTTGCTTCAGTTTTTGCATTCTTGACATTTAAAAATTGTGAATTGTTATCAAATGTAGTGAAGGTAAAGTACAACAATGCTATAGGTATCTGTTGTGGTGCTGAGGATACCACTAAATGAGAATAATAGCAAGATAAATGCTGTATTCTTGCAAGTCATTGTTGCCTATCTGTTAACATTACCTGTGAATCAAAATAATGATTAGCCAGCTGATAGGGAATCAATATTATGATTATCTGTTTAAAGTGAATCAATTCCTTGATTGCCTTTCACTACCTATAGAATTCAAATTGTTATGATAGGAGTAATATTATTTTGCTTAGGAGATAGTTCCAGCATTTCTGTTCAAGATCAGGCATGCTCCTTCTGGAAACACTCTCTTATTTTTATGTGATTGGTAAGTTAGAAATGGTCTGCATTTATGCCCAAATATGGTCACAAGGAATCAATCTTTTGATGCCTCCATATTTTGATTCCAAAGGTCTAGTTTGCCCAACTGATTTGCTATCAATGAAAAATACACCTTACCATATTTGACTGCTAAACCAACGCAAAATATGAAAAATAAAAAAGAAATCGCCCTAGCCCTATACAATTTCTACTACGAGAAAATCACACCGTATGAGAACTGGAAAATCACAAACGAAACTGTCGCGTATTATATGAATCAACTTCCAAATCCCTTCATGATTCCAAATCCCTTCATGCTATTACATAATATTTAGGGTCCATGCAATTGCCATGAAAATTGCAAGCAGCAAAGGGTGGTCAGACAAAGGTCTTACGGCTGAATTAATGAGCATTTTTCTAATTCCAATCTTCAAAGCATTTAGCCGTTACTCTTTCGTTTATATCGGCCTTGTATCGGCTTGGCCTGCCAGGAAGCTCCACGGGTCGGCCGTGCCGCGCTCCGGTCCCGTGCTGCCGCCGCCGGCCCCGGCTTATTGTGCTCATAGAACTGGCATCGCGGTATGTGCCGTTCCACTGCCGTCTGATTGAACTTCCGCTGGCAGTGCGGACACTGGACGTAGTCGGAATAGTCTGAGGGCGGCGGCGGCGGCGGCAGGTCCTGAGGCCGGCCGCCGGCCGTTAGGTGGGCCTGCGCCTGCCGCGCTGCGCGAACGGCGGTCACCAGCTCCTCGTGCCGCTGCCGCCACCGGCTCTCCCTCACCGGCTGACGACAGAAGGACGGGATCGCGCCCATGAAGATCGAGCTCTGACGAGTCCCACTGTACTACATCACATTGACACGACAGCGATCTGCGATACGTCATCAATTCCGAACACTTACAGACACGAGTAGACTCCACACCAAGCGAAATAGGGCGTGAGATGAATTCGGAATAGTTTCGCTATGGGTCTACAACATCTTATTCATGTAGGAGAAACTCGTATGAACTATAGTTCATCGAGTTATAGTGCGGCTTATAAGCCGCACGTAACTCGAGCCAAGAAAACACTACCCTCTGGCCCGCTCAGCACCTCGTTGGCTAGCCGGCCGGCCCGTCGCCCACCTACCGGAGCCGGGAGGTGCCGCGCTCTGGCGTAGAGCGGCCCGTGCTCGGTGCCCGCCAGCCGGTGCCGCTGAGAGTCGTAGACGCTCCGCCGCCGGCCGGCCAGTCGCGCGCAGATACGCTCGTGCTCCTGACGCCGTCCATCGACGAATGGGCGGCCGCAGGAGGCGCAGGGCGCCGTCACCGGCGACTGGTACCGGGGCGGAGGCATTGACAGGCCACCGCAGCTACACGGGTGTACGGTCAGCAGCGGGCGGACAGCTGCTCGAGTACGGTCAGCAGCGGGCGGACAGCTGCTCCAGTACGGTCAGCAGCGGGCGGACAGCTGCTCGAGTACGGTCACCAGCGGGCGGACAGCTGCTCGAGTACGGTCAGCAGCGGGCGGACAGCTGCTCGAGTACGGTCACCAGCGGGCGGACAGCTGCTCGAGTACGGTCACCAGCGGGCGGACAGCTGCTCGAGTACGGTCAGCAGCGGGCGAACAGCTGCTCCAGTACGGTCAGCAGCGGGCGGACAGCTGCTCGAGTACGGTCACCTCACTGACGCGGTCGTCGGCCACCACACTGCGGGCGGCTTCTCACAGAGTACACGGCTCGGAAACGGACGGCGATCACCGGCGGCATGATCTCCGACTTTGCTGCTTTGTCTCGACGACTTCCTGACTTGTGAATGTTGCTTTGCGACTAGCTGTTGGTACTTTGCCCATCGTGACTTACATCCAGTGTTTCAGAACAAGAATGAAATAACTAGCTAGAGATCGATTTTAACAAACATTAGTCCCATGAACAGTAAGAATTTAAACATGACTCACCGATGCTTCATGATGCCATGTACATATTTTCAGAAGCACACAATGCAATCCCATCGCTCGTGACAACCCCATCAAACAACCTCACAAAACTGGAATGAGAGTGGCTGTGAAGTTTAGGTTTGGTAATATGCCTGAGAATATTCTTGGTGACAGGCCAACAAGAGAACAAATCGTAATCTTCAATGAATTGGTCTTGATACATGTGGGTTATCATGTGGATCATGTGAGCTGTCTTGGAGAATGACCAAACATAACACTGCTATCCACATCTTCAAACGACAAACCCTGTAGTATTCCACAAAAGGTATCCAAATTTCTCCGATCCAGCAACCCTGAACCACACACAAACAAAATGGTAAAATATGGTCTGTACGACGATGTATTCAGCTTATCTGTCTCTCTCCTGAAAAGCGACAAAAACGCCACATACTTCTGTGAAGTGATGAGAGCCGGCGGCGGCCGCACGGCTGGTCTCGGGAAAGTGAGAGACTCGTCATTCTAGACAGCTCCAGTCCGGTCACCCCGGGACCGACGGGAGTGATATCGGGCACACAGACACACACCATAGCACCGGGACGCTCCGATCGCGTGTCTGCAGAGCCGGACCGCGCCTCACAGTCACAGTCGATCGGACACCACAGTCACACCGTCTCACAGTCACATACCAGCTCACAGCAGTGCGGCGCCGCTCGGGTCCACTGGCGGTCCGGCCTCCCTCTGACGCCGGCAGACGCCGCCCCGACCGCACACACAGTTCCGCGCGCACCGCGGTGGGACGGAGCGCCCGCTCAGGCGTACACGTCCTCGCGGTCGGCGCCTGCCGTCTCGCCCTCCTCCAGAGAGGCGAAGTTGAGGAAGTGCGACGGCCGGTGCACCTCGTGGTAGAACTCCTTCGGGTTGGCCAGCGTCAGCTCGTACTTCATGCTCGGGTCGTGGCGCACGCCTGCGGACGGAGAATGTGTCAGTGTCATTGGCGGTGGGCGTTCGGAGCGGTCAGGGCGTGAGACAACATACACAAAACATCACCCATCGGCCGGCTGAAGCAGCAGACGAATAACATTAATATTCATATCAAAGTTACTACTGAAGAATCACAGCCATTCATAGTCGCATGCAGACGGTTAGAAGAATGGCCAACCAGTTGTGAGGACTTGACAGCTATATGTCCGTGTACTCCACGTACCCATGAAGTTGTAGTTCCAGCTGCCCTGCGCCGGCACCATGAAGAAGCCGAGGAAGCGGTCGGAGAGCAGCATCTGGACGCGCTCGTAGTGTGAGGGCAGGTAGCCCTTGGGGTTGTTGCCGCGGTCCGTGTTCTGGCGGCCCCACTCGAAGCCGCTCGGCGTCAGCTTGTAGGCGGTCAGCGAGCACGAGCCGGGCGTGAAGCTGCACGTGATCACCACCGTCTTCTCGCCGTCCCAGCTCGAGTGTTCCGACATCACCTGGGCGAGGGGCGCGCGTCAGAGGGGTGCTACGGGGCCCGTGACAGGAGAGGGCAGTGCACATCTATTGGGGGATGTGAATACCAATAAAGGGGTAGCTGACTAAAAAAGTACGACAAAATACGCCATCATAATATTAGAATCATTTAAAAGTAGTGAGGTACGCGGAGAAAAAGTTAATTGAAGGAGCGCAACTAGACGTCTCAACTGGCCCACGACTGGCCATTACATCCCGCGGATTAACTTCCCCCACCGCGGTGCCCCCTCCCCCGTCCGTCCCCAGGTGCCGCACCTTGGCGTGCGTGGTGATGTCCTGCGGGCTGAGCTGCGGCAGCTCGTTGGGCTGCGTGTGCATCCAGCCGAGCGGCTCCATGTCCTTGAGGTACTCGTGCTGCGGCAGCGCCGACGGCAGGTGCACCGTCTGGTGGGTGCCCCACTGCGGCGCCATGACGATACAGCGGATCTCCTTCACCTGGTGGCCACAGACGCGCGGGACGTGACACGGGGGAGACTGTGCGGACTCCTGTACAACATCGCCGGCCCGCGACGACACGGCTGAAGGCGCTATCCGGTCATACAACAAATGGACAAGGTGTCAGAGATAAGGAAGGTCACGGGTTTGTCAGTTGGGCAGACGTGCAGCGTTATTCAACATGCAGGCGCCTTTTCAGTCGGGAATTAAAGTTCACGCAAATGGCGAAGCAAAGAGAGCCAAAACGAGAATGCATCGAGTAGACAAGGTTCTGGTTTGATTACGACAATCTGAGACGGGAGAGTTCGCAGCCAAACCACTCACCTGAGGGTTGTCCGACGGCGACACGCCGTACAGGTAGCCGGCAATCTGGGCGCGCAGGTCAGAGATGACGATGAACTTCTTGAGGATGTTCTTGGGCAGGATGTAGGTGTAGCCGGCCTCCTTGATGTCGTCCGAGCTGACGTAGATATGGTTGGTGCGCAGGTGCAGATTGGTGGCCGAGATGGCCCGCACGCGCCACTCCGTCTTGGAGTTGAACGTGTTGGACTCGTAGTTGGAGGTGGTGCTGGTGATGATCTCGTCGCCGTGCTTGTTGACCGTGCGCGTGGTGGTGGCGGTCAGCTGGCTCTGCTCCTTGGTCTGCTTCTCGATCTCGGCGATCTGCTGCCGCTGCTGGGACGGCGCGCTGATCTCCATGCCCAGGATGATGTCGCGGATCTCCGACTGCGTCAGCGACGCCACGTTGACGTTGTTCTTCTTTCCGTAGTCGGCCAGGATGAGGTCCTTGAGCTGCACCTCCACCTTGACCCACTCGTCGTCGGAGAGGCTGGGCCAGATGTGGTGCGGCTCGGTGATGGTGGTCTTGTCCGGTTTGAGGATCACCTTGGTGCGATCGTTGTTGACGTGCAGCGCGCGCAGGATCAGGATCAGACGCGAGAAGGCCGTGTACGAGCTGATGGTCTTGAGCCAGTCGTCGTACAGGTTGAAGAGCACCATCTGCGGCTCGGTGGCCTTGAGGATCAGGTCGCCGAACTTCTCCACCTTGAGGCAGGCCTGGAAGGGCAGCTGCAGCTCCGAGCCCTTGATGACGATATTGGGGAAGTCGAGCAGATGCACCTGGGGGCAGAGAGACAGGTATGTCAGGGTGGGGAGGACAACACCAATGCAATAATATCGTGATCATATACAGAATGAGCAGCCTTCATGAATCTCGTGTAAGTAATCCTGATATGATCGTCTGATCCAGGCGATCAGACGCAAGACGAGAGTGACGAAAACGAGCGTTCATCATCACAACATGGAAGCTTTCGGACCCAACTTGCCCAGAATAACATTCAGAATGCCAGAGGCCAGCTGCTGCTTTCAGTAAAGGAGCGCTCTTCTTACCTCGAGCGGGTCCAGCATGCCCTTCCTGGTGACGATGATCTGTTTGGGCTGCTCCTCGACGGGCAGCGAGCGAATGAGCGCGGCCACCTCCTCGGCGGTCTTCCACTTGGCCAGCTGGCCCAGACGCTTCTGACCTGTACAACGCAGCCAGACAGTCAGAAACGTGGCAAGTAAATGTACATAAACACATCCAGCAAACGAGGCGCTACGAGCTCAGAACGTCAATGACGAGCTGTGGCCATCATACAATGAAAAGATGGTGAATACTGAATATCTATCGATGTGTACACGTATGGATCGGTGCGTCAGCAATATTAATTGACCTCTGAGAAATGATGAAACGATGTCAGTACGATCCATAAGAGCCGACGCTGTTGTGACCCGCATATTCGCGGCCAGCAGCGCAGCTGCCCCGATCTTGCGTACGTACCCGCCCAGACGGAGGTGTGGATGATCTTGAGGAAGAGCTGGCCGGTGCGCGGGTTGAAGATGAAGATGGCGCCGTTGATGGGCTTGGTGGTCAGGTTGCCCTCGAACGTCTTGTGGATGGTGACGCGGTACACGTTCGTGTCGTCCACGAACCTGAGGAGCGCGACGGCCGTCAGCGAATCGAACAGCACGCGCAGGGGAGGGTCGGCACGCAACCATTCCTACATCAAGTGTACAAGAAACAACTGTTAATTACACGTTTGGTCGTCTGAACCTAAGTCTCTTTTATGATTGCTAAACAAAACAATAATGAACAAACGAAAGCACTTCCATCCTTCGCTGTTGTGACACTACACCGCGTTTCGCCAGCACAGTCCGTCGGGCAGGCAGTTTACTCACCAGATGATCTGGTTGCTGAAGAGCTCGCCGTAGTTCTGCGAGCTCAGGTAGGGTTCGGTGGGCTCCGAACTGTACAGCTGGAGGCCCTTCCTGATCCGCTCGCGCAGCACGTACAGAGCCGGGTTGGCCTTCATGATCTTGGCCATGGCCTGCTGGATGAGCGGCTTGCTGCCCGGGAACCAGTTGCCGTAGGCGCTGTAACGGACGGTGGCCAGCGTCAGAGGAGAGACGGGGAACAGAACAAATATAGATAGCCAGCAAAAAGTCAGCATGGGATGCTTCACTATCATGGAGGAAAGGAAACAGACGTTAGAAAAGCAACAAGGGACGCCGTGCTAAAATCCTGATCAGACATTTGCTTGAACATGTTACCACAAGATATTATCCATTTCTCAGCTAGAGTCACGGAGCACAGCCTCTATAGTCACAGTTCTGCGCATGTCAGCCGCAGTCACAGCCGCCGCTGTACCACCGTCTCACCTGTGCAGGTTGTAGGCCAGGTCGATGGCGATCAGCAGCCCGGTCGGGGACGGGTAGATGGACATGTTGTCGGTGGTGTAGTCGAGGAACTTGGCGCGCGCGTACCGCTCGATGTCGTGCGAGTCGTAGTCGCCCCAGCGCAGCTGCACGTCGATCCAGTACTTTTGCGTGGTCGTGTTGTCCATGGTGTCCTTGCTGTCGGCCAGCAGCGACGGGCGCGACACGTTCCACTTGTAGGCGGCGAACAGTAGCATGTCGGCGCACGACGAGTTCATCTTGTACGACTTGCGCGGGTGGATGGTCTCCTTCTGGACGGTCTCGATCTCCAGGGCGTCCAGCTCCTGGTCGAACACCTGGCACAGGTCCATCACCACCGACTCGTGCACCTTCTGCCACAGATGGGCGCGGAAGATCTGGATCAGCGAGATCTTCAGCGTGGGGATCTTGCCGTGCATGAAGATGCCCGTCAGGTCGAGCTGCACCTGGAAGCCGACGTAGACGTTGGCGCGGTTGATGGTGGGCGACCACCAGAGCGTGAAGCGCCGGTTGGGGATCTGGTTGAGACCGGAGCGCTGCGCCATCGTCAGCTTCTTGTACTTCATCGACTCCTCGAAGCCGCTGGCCTTCTCCCAGAAGAGGCCCTCCCACGTGGGGAAGTAGGTGCCCTTGAAGAGCGTGTGCTCCAGGATACCCTCCACGCCGCCCAGGGCCTGCCGCCGAGAGAGACACGGGGTCAGTGACAGACGACAGGGTTCTCTGCACGGCGCGGAGTAACGAAAAAATGCAGAGCACAATGAAATACTGTAGACATTTTTTTCCCGAAGGAACAGTAGGGTAAGTTCTTTTGAACTAGAGGTCGATATTGCATCTAGCGAAAAAAGACATCACATAACATAAACAATGGAGTGGGGATAATTACAAGGAAACGACGAAAGGACAACTAGAATATCTGCCTAATGACATGAGCAAAGCATTTCATCACCAGCAGCAGCCAATAATTGCAAGACTTCTTTGGCAAACCAAGAGACTAACTTCGACAAAGTCTCGCCACCCGCTCCCAGTAGCCCCGCGGCGGCGCAGCCCGGGACCCGCGGCCGCGCCGACCGCCGGCCGGCCGGAGTCTCACCTGGATCATGTCTGTGCGGTAGTTGTTGAGGTTCCACAGCTTGCCGTCGTGGCGCTGGTGCGTCCACCAGAACGGGTTCTGCTTCAGCACCTGGTACATCTTGAACTCGGTGCGTACGCGCCAGCCCTTGTCGTAGGCCAGCGTGTGCCGGTCCTTCTGGAAGAGGGTGTTGATGCGCGGGATGCCGCGGTCCCACGAGTCCTCCAGGTCCTGCGGCGGGCGGACGGAGAGACGTCAGGCGACAAAACTCATATCAACCGTGATATGTCAACCGGTAGATATTAGTTAACTGTGTGAAAACAATTGCACTTCACGGGTTTGGTCCCCTACTGACGAACATAAAAATATTGCCAAGATATGTTTGACAATAAAGATCAATTACTTATAGCAATCGCAGGCGATAAGCGAACGTTCAGTAAGACGTCTTAGCGACGATACGAAAAACCAATCTGGCGCAAAGCATTATGCCCCTCATCGAGACTGGTCAGCTCACTGGGCGCTACTCTGATTGTCAAGGCCTGCCTGCCTACTCTCGGTTCCCTCTGCCGAGCCCCGTCGCCGTGACCCACCTCGAGCGTGAGCCGCCGATTCTGTGCGTTGGCCTCCTGGCGTTTGAGCGCGTACTCGGCCCAGACGCGCTGCGAGTCGATGAACTCGGACTCCCAGGGCTGCACGTAGCGGTACAGGTTGGGGATCAGCTGGTCCTCGTCGTGCGACATGCCCGAGCGGAAGTGGGTGATGCCGACGTCCGTCTGTTTGGACCAGCGCAGGTCCGACTGCGGGATCAGCACGTGGCCCATGCTGAGCATGCCCAGGCCGCCCAGCTCCTTGGGCGTGTAGAACACCACCGGCGGGAACCGGGAGGGCATCTTGGAGTTGAGGCCGATCTTGATGCGCGTCTGGATCTTGTTCTCGCACTTGACCAGCAGGTCGAGCAGCTCCTGGGTGTTGACCACCGCCTCGCGGAAGTAGGTCATCAGGCCGATCAGCGCCGTGTTCCACTTGTTCACGATCTGGCGACGAAGGAACAGAACGCAACGCCACGGGTGAGAACAGTCAGACAGGACAGCACTCAATACTGGACAGCATGGAACGTTAAGCGAAACGTCATCATGAAGACTGTAGGGCGTAGGCCTTCTCTCATGGTTGTTTCAAACTGCTCTACCTACGTCAAATAAAATGGCCCAGCGGATGCTTAAATATCCATCAGCCAGTCTCTGTTCTCTGCCGTACCGTCACCCCACTCAGGTTTCAAACAGTCTGCCCACCCGGCACCCACCTTGGTGAACGTGGTCGATCCGGACGCCATGAGGATCTGTCGGACGCGGTTGTGGAAGCGCTGCATCGACTCGTCGTCGACGCGCAGGAAGCACTGGGCCGTGCGCTCCTTGGTCAGCTCGTGCTGCAGGTTCCACACGCCGTCGCGGTGCTTCAGCTCCTCGTTGGTGGTCCGGCACTGGAGTAAAGAAGAGAGAAGTACGTTACGGTACGAGTCATACGCGGGAACATGACAGACGGACAGACAGCGGCACAGAACAGCTAAGAAAGTAAGCTCTTGGTCTCTAATGGTCCGGGTATAAGGTATTGGTCTTGATATTGACATTGGTATTGGTAGGTATGGGTATTGGTCTTCTAAGCACATTCTTCACATTCTAAGCAGTCATGGGAGCATTCAAGAGAGACTATTAAGTTATACTGTTTCGTTCTAGATCCTGGTCCCACTGCCGACGTCCTACCTTGGGCAGGATGCGGCACTCGAAGCCGGCCATGTTGAAGAGCTGGTTGGGGTTGTCCTTGCTGTAGACGCTGACGAAGCTGTCCTCCCAGTGGATGGTGGTGACGGAGCGCGGCAGCCGCGACTTTATGTCCCAGAACACGGCGCGGCCCAGATTCACGTCGTGCTTCATCAGACGCATCCGGGAGTCACGCGGCCAGCACTTTTTGTTGTTGTAGCCCACGATGTTCTCGTTGTTGGGGTCAGGGTGCTCGGTCAGGTACCTGTCGGAAGAGGGGGACGTTGTCAGCGGAACGCCTTACAGCTGTGCATCGCCAGCGCGACACAATATACTCGTAAAGGCGCCACGCCATAGCCTTACATTATGTGCGATGACATTTCGCGTATTCTCAAAGAAACAAAATGAAACATTCTCGCAGCACCTCTCCCGTGCCGTGCCGTGCCCCACCTCTGGATGAGGTCGCGCGCCTCCTCGGCGGTGAAGCGGAAGAAGATGTGGATGCGGTCGACGTAGCGGCAGTAGAGCCGGATGGGGTGGGCCACCTCGGTCACCGTGTCCTGGTAGCTGAGGAAGTCGTTGGGCAGCTGCGGCGGGCCGGCCATCTCGGAGGCGCGCTGCAGACCCAGCACCAGCAGGTCCAGCACCAGACCGTAGTACTGCACGATGAACGAGGCGAACTGCAGGCCGCGGATGATGCCGTACGAGTTCGTGTGGTTCATGTCCTGTGGAGCGGGGCGGACGGCGCCGGTCAGAGCGGGAACTGGCCAAGCGAGGAACACACTGGCAGATGCAGGGATGTGAGGGAAAGTCATCAGAGGCATGTCCACCAGAAATCCGATTTTCAACGCTACACAGATTTCTGACAAATAACTGAAGAATCCGAGCGGATTCAGCCTAAAAACGAGTGAATTCTAAAAAACCAACAAACGAAAAGAATAGACACTTACTGAAGGCACAGAAGATAGTCGCACGTTTCGCAGCATACGGCCATGAATTGTGGAAAACCCAACCAAAAACAGCTAGCCTCATTGCCGGCTTCCCCACAGCCCTCCAAATGCCCCACCTTGTAGTTGATGAGGACGTTGTTCTTGGCCGTCATGTAGTCGGCGATGTTGTGGTCGACGATGAGCCGCAGCAGCCGGTTCAGCAGCGTCAGGTCGATCTTCTCGTAGAGCTTGTTGAACTTGGACTCGAGCATGACGTTGCACTCTCCCTCGGCCGTGTCCCACACGTCCTGCAGGTTGTTCACGCCTGACGACGACGAAGGAAAGTTAGATGTCACACAAGAAGAGGTAAGGGGTCATATACATAGCATTGCCACTCTGCGTAAACGAAGGAGTCACACAGGTTACAGTGAGATCAGCGCTATCGTAAGGAAATAAACGATATCACGGATAAAAAGGTTAAACATGGCGAGGTCCGAGGTCGTATAGGTGAAAACACGGTAACACACGCTGAAAGGTCAGACACAGACTTACCAACAGATAAGTTACAGCATGTTTACAACGCACGGTCAAAAACAATCGTAAGACAGACTGGATAAAGTGACACACATCCCGCGCCCTGAAGCGTCCCACGTACCTTGGCACCACTTGTAGACGAGAAGTGGCGGCGGCTCGGTGTCGGCCGGTTTGATCCAGGGCGGGAAGAGGCGGCGCTTGTCGGCCTCGTACCACAGATACTGGTCCAGGTAGGCGTCCGTGATTTTCTCCAGCGGCTCCACATCGTGGTACACGGGCACCAGGTGGCTGTACAGGTCCATGAACTCGATACCGATCTGAGGTGGGACAGATATATAGTTCACATTGGGAGCACAGGCAGCGTGCGCGTGAGCGCCCACACAATGACTTTTGTATCTTGATATAAAGGCGGAGATGCTAGCAATGAAATGTAGCTTTTGGCGACAAAACAAAACGGGAGTCTTCAGAACCGAACCATCACAATTTGAAAAGGAACATGAAGATTACTCGGGCATGGGACCCAAATGACTGAACACAAAACCAGCCCTTCCCGGTCACCGACCTCCTTGAAGGCGCGCTGGGTCAGCAGGTGACGTTTGATGCGCGACAGCGCCTCGTGCGGGTTGTCGTAGGCCTGCTCGATCAGGCCCAGCTCCTCGCGCTGCGACTGGTTCAGGCGCGACTTGACGCTGTAGGCCTCCTTGAGTCGCTCCAGCGCCAGGATCAGCAGCTTGGTGTCGTGCTTGTAGCTGAGCGGCGGGAACGGGATGGGCGCGAACCGGCGCGACTCGAGCCAGTGCACGGTGGTTGTGTAGATGGCCACCGCCTCCTCGGGCGAGATGTACGGACCGTCCTGGCGGCGGGGCGGCGACCGAAGGTCAGCAGGGAGAGAACCGGCGACGGACATACACGGGAGACGGCAGGTCACAGCGGGACATTGTTTGCTTATTGGCCGGCTTTAGGGCGCGTCGACTACAGGAGTCATATTGCGCCCGTCACTTCAAACTAACAAAACAAAGGTGTCGAGGAAGAACCATATCATACTATACACCCCACCGCGTCCCGGTCCGCGCACCTTGAGGTAGTTGTGCTGCCTCTCCTGTTCGGCCTTCAGGTACAGTCGCGTCAGGCGGCCCAGGTTCTTCTTGCAGACGGTCTTGTCGACGGTGGCGCCGCGCCGGATCCGCTCGCGGTTGTAGTGCGCCGTGTTCGTCCACCAGTCGGCCTTCATCTTCACGTACCGCAGGATCATGTTCTCGACCGGCGTCGGCAGGCCAGGCACCTGAGAGATGGGCGGGGTTACACTAAGTCACCAGCGGGGACCGTGACATTATACCAAAACCTAGCACAAGAAAACATAAAACGGCACAAAATTCACTACCAAATGAATCTATGTATATCACAATCCCAAAAGTCCGACATCACCCCGGACGGATCGGAGCCCAGTGATAAGCCCGTAACCAGCTGGCGATGTTCCAGCTCACAACTCACTTTCCAGGGGATGTTGGCCTTCCAGCAGCGCCACGCCTCGCTCAGGTGCTGCAGGATGGTGCGCGCCTTGTTCTGCTTGATGCCCTCGGGCATCATGTCCAGGATGTCGTGCATCACGGAGGCACGCAGCTCCAGGTCAAAGTGGGACTCGACGCGCTGCTTCGTCACCGTCTTGGCCACTCCCTGGGGACGGCAGAACGACAGTCAGTCGCCTGGCGAGCCAGCCATAGCACACTGAACTGTTACTGAATGTACGCGACATAGCGAGTGCACGACGAAAGTAAGAAGACGAATAGCCACACTTCCCGCTAATTAACGCAAAACTTTAGTAATATGTACATTGTGAAACTGATCAACTGCCTTTCGATGGCGGGCATTTTACATAGTCTCAGAGCAAAACTCGGTCGCAAATGACTTGCTTGCGCCCAATATGTTTCACGAGCGAACGTCCTGAAGATCTGCAAGTTCTGCACAACTAGCTCACCTTGGAGTGTCGTCCCTCGAACTGCCTGCTGAGCAGGTTGCCCAGCCAGCGCTCCAGCAGGGGCGTGATGCCGCGCAGGAAGAAGAGCCAGACGCGCCAGCCGGGCGCCCACACGCCGCACCCGGGACCCTTGCCCACCGGACCCTGCGAACGCGGGGGAACAGCGCTGTTAGAGGTACATAAGGGAAAGTTGTAAGAGGTGTTGCAGGAAGGAAACAACAGACAGAAGCTGTTGGATCAATACCAGATTTAGCCCACACAATCATACTCGAAAGACAAGCAGAGGTAAATGAGTAAACACACAAGTCATTCATGAGCTTTGTGACCCATTCCTTAAAGGGACAAAAGTTAACCGGTCGCCTTCCAAGACTGACCGTGTTGAAGCGGTAGTAGATGAGGTGCTTGAGGTCCTTGCACATGCGGATCTGCTTCATCAGCTTGTACTTGTAGCGGTACATGCCCGTGAGCTGACCGACGTGCGCGAAGATGTACTGCAGGCCGTCGGCCAGCTGGAAGGCGTCCACGTTGTTGAGCCGGTACTGCACGTGCGCGTCCACGATCAGCTTGGTGAGCCGCAGGATCTCACGGCACAGATGGAACGCTGTCGAGACGCGCGGGCACACGGTCAGGTGATGAGGTGGCACGCGGCGGCGACTACAACCGCTCAATGAAAGCTGGGGTAAGGAGTAATATTTTCTAATAAGGTAAGTCTAGACAGGTGACGTGATACCTAGATGATATTTCAGGGGCAAAGAACGGCGTGAAGAAACGTTGTAAGACGATGTTAGCAAAGACCCAGGAGTTCAGGACAACCGATCAAGACGCACGGATAATAATTTGAACTCACCGTTTCCGAACCTGCTCTTCTTTCGCTCCTTGGTAGTGAGCGTCTTGACAGGCTTGAGGTTGAAGTTGTAGTCGAGATGCAGGTAGTTGAGGTTTTTGCGGTGGATCAGCAGGTTGAGCATGTTGTAGCCCTGTCTGCAGACCTGCAGGCCCGCCTCCACCCAGTCCAGCGACGTCAGCTGGAAGAACTTGGTGGCCTTGAAGCTGCGGAACAGGTAGCGCTTCTTCTGCGGCTTGGGTGGTTTGTGCTTGAGCGCGTTCAGCACGTAGTACTTGAGCAGCTTCTGGTAGCTGACGCGTACCTTCACCGGCTGGCCGGCCGGGCAGTGTTCGCGGTACCACGACTTGACGATGGGCACGTCCAGGGCGCGGCGCGTGCGTCCCGAGCGCAGGCAGAAGGGGCGCGGCGCCCAGAGCAGCGCGATGCCGTTGGCCGTGTTGTCCGAGTAGAGCGGCGAGTCCTGCAGGAACGGCTGCACGTAGTCGGGCAGCTCGAACTCCTCCTCGTCCTCCGGCAGGTCCTCCTCGTGCTGTCCGACACAGACCAGAGTCAGTCATACACGGAGACGGAGACCCTCGGGCAGGTCCTCCTCGTGCTGTCCGACACAGACCAGAGTCAGTCATACACGGAGACGGAGACCCTCCGGCAGGTCCTCCTCGTGCTGTCCGACACAGACCAGAGTCAGTCATACACGGAGACGGAGACCCTCCGGCAGGTCCTCCTCGTGCTGTCCGACACAGACCAGAGTCAGTCATACACGGAGACGGAGACCCTCCGGCAGGTCCTCCTCGTGCTGTCCGACACAGACCAGAGTCAGTCATACACGGAGACGGAGACCCTCGGGCAGGTCCTCCTCGTGCTGTCCGACACAGACCAGAGTCAGTCACACACGGAGACGGAGACTAGATGTTTTAATCGGCATACAGCACTCCGGCCGCAGATCAACAGGCAGTGATTAACTGCAAAGTAATTACCAGTAAAACGCCTTTTGGGCGAAGAACGAGCGAGCGAGGTAGTGAGCCCTGCACGTGCGGAAGGGCGAGAGGGTGCTTCCAACGGGCTTGTGCAAAGCACCCTTCTAACCGGTCGCTAGCGGTGTGCCAAATTTGAACGCAATCGGCCCAGCCGTTCCTGAGATCTGGAAGCGGCATTCTGCACGTGCGCACGTGCAAACGGGGTCCAAAATGACTTTTGCACGGCACCCTACTAACTGGTCCCCAACCGTGTACCAAATTTGAGCGCAATCGGCCCAGCCGTTCTCGAGATCTGGAAACGCCCCCTGCACGTGCGCACGTGCAGTAGCACCCTAACATGGAACACATGGAAATGCATTGCCTGGTGGGTGCCTACCTGTATGCCAAGTTTCAGGGAAATCGCCCCAGTAATTACCGAGTTACTGAAATGGGAACAAATTTGGCACCTCTTATTGTTGTATTTTGCACGTGCACTGGGGGTGACCCACACACATCGAGAGTATCGTATTTTGGGTAGAAGGGATGCTGCTACCCTACAAAAATTACCGCAAGTCAATCGCCCAAGCGGCTGCTGAGATATGAGCCTCTCAAAATCACTACTTTTGCAAAACAGCTTGAACACCCTTGACTTTTCACGTGGCACGTGCCACCACGGTCACTGAGATGTATCAAAAGTAGTCAATTACGGGGTAGAAGGGATGGGGCTACCCAACAAAAAAGACCGCAGGCCAATCGGTCTAGCGGTTGCTGAGATATAAGCCTCTCAAAAGCGTTACAGGCCGGGCCGGGCCGGGCCGGGCCGGGCCGCTCATACTGAGATTTTTCCGTTATATTGAAAAGACTCACTTCGCTCGCTGCGCTCGCTCGCTCGTAATAACGTGCATAGCTGATATCCAATGATTAAAATTGTGAAAAATACATATAAATATCCTATTCGTTGAAATATTCTCCAAAATGTGATAGAAACAGTCAAGGTTTGGACGTGACGCTAGCATCCGGCTGCGGAGCTGCTGCTGCCGGCCAATATCCAGCCACGCGGCGAAGAGGGCCGTGCTGTGGCCCGGCGCCGGCCGGCCGCCGGCAGACGCTGGCCCCGGCGGCCAGCCGGCCGGGGCGGTACGGGGCGGGACGGTCCCCAGGCTCACCTTGACGGCGTGCCGGTGAGAGATGGGGTTCACCAGCGGGTCAAAGTAGAAGGCCGGCAGGTCCGGGTCCTCCGTCTTGATAAACACCACGTTCGGCGTGTGGTACCTGAGCGGAACAGCAAGCGCTTTAGACATCGATGCATTTAGCCCATCATCAATGCACAATCCTACAAAGCATCTTCATGAAACAAGTGCAAGCTTAACCCTCGCCCGTAAACGCCGATCTGCCACCTTCGCCCATGCAGGGGGGGGGGGGGGGTTGGTGCGACCCCCCCTTGGCGTTTGAAAACGGAGCGTCGTAGAGCTTAGCGGAAAAGACCAACGGATTGCTCTCGCCGAGATCTCGCGATTGGTGGTATATTTTTTGGTCCTAGGTCAACATTTGACCTACTTTTGACCGGTCAAAGGTCAATATTCGGAAAAATAGACTTTTTTCAACTTTCCGCGGCGATTGCGGCAAAACGGTGGGAGATATCGACTTAAAACCTTCACTATCGTGTTCCTTGATTAATTCTCTATCGTTTGGTATGTATTTCGTTTCCCTAGCTCTAAAAATGGCGCGTTGGGAGCGCCGGAAGTCGGCAAGGTCACAGTCGGCGGCAGAAATTCGAAAAATCAAAATTTAAATTTTTGAAATCTGATTGTATTTTTGGATTTGGGAGGTCCATTTGCTCCCTATAGAAGCTAATATTGCTGCATATTCCCACTGAGGTGACAAGAATTAGCAAAATAATGGTTCGGGCGCTTTTCAAAAATAGTACCGGACGCTGTTCCTCTTGTGACGTCATAGCTCCGTGACCTGACCTGACCCGGTCAAGTTTCTTATACCATATGATAGCCAATACTTGCCCCAACATGCATGGGAAGTTTCATCACGATCCATCAACCGATGTCCGTACCACCGACAGGAAACCTCGGGCGTTGGCACTCAGTTTGTGAAAATCCGGCCGGAGGCTGTTCCCTTTGTGACGTCATAACTCCGTGACCTGACATGACCCGGTCAATTTTTTTTTATCAAAAGATGCGCAAGGTTTGCCCCATAAGGTACCCAAAATTTGGCGGCGCTGCGCGCCGCCGTTTTTGCACTATTTCCGAAAAGCCTCAGGGGGGGGGGTTGCACCAACCCCCCCCCCTACATGGGCGAGGGTTAAATTGTAAAGACAACCCCTAGAATCTAATACTATAAACATATCACTTTCTTCATGCTGCTCTGTGTTCTACATAGAAGAGTAGGTACATAACTGACTAATACATAACACCAGTAAAACGCCTTTTGGGCGAAGAACGAGCGAGCGAGATAGTGAGCCCTGCACGTGCGGAAGGGCGAGAGGGTACTTCCAACGGGCTAGCGCAAAGCGCCCTTCTAACCGGTCGCTAGCGGTGTACCAAATTTGAACGCAATCGGTCCAGCCGTTCCTGAGATCTGGAAGCGGCATTCTGCACGTGCGCACGTGCAAACGGGGTCCAAACTGACTTAATTTGCACGGCACCCTACTAACTGGTCCCCAACCGTGTACCAAAGTTGAGCGCAATCGGCCCAGCCGTTCTCGAGATCTGGAAGCGCCCCCTGCACGTGCGCACGTGCAGTAGCACCTTAACCGCAACACATGGGAATGCATTGCCTGGTGGGTGCCTACCTGTATGCCAAGTTTCAGCGAAATCGTTCCAGTAATAATTACCGAGTGATTAAAATGGGGACAAATTTGACACCTCTTATTGTTGTATTTTGCACGTGCACTGGGGGTGACCCACATGCATCGAGAGTATCCTATTTTTGGTAGAATGGATGCTGCTACCCTACAAAAATTACCGCAAGTCAATCGCCCAAGCGGCTGCTGAGATATGAGCCTCTTAAAATCACTACTTTTGCAAAACTGCTTGAACACCCTTGACTTTTCACGTGGCACGTGCCACGACAGTCACTGAGATGTATCAAAAGTAGTCAATTACGGGGTAGAAGGGATGGGGCTACCCAGCAAAAAAGACCGCAGGCCAATCGGTCCAGCGGTTGCTGAAATATAAGCCTCTCAAAAGCGTTACAGGCCGGGCCGGGCCGGGCCGCTCATACTGAGATTTTCCCGTTATATTGAAAAGACTCGCTTCGCTCGCTGCGCTCGCTCGCTCGTAAAAACATACATACCTAACTACAGTTATAGTGGGTGTTGAGGTACTTACCACGAGAGGTGGACGAACTGCGGCATGTTGTTGTACAGGTAGGGGAAGGCGATGCGGTACTCGGTCCGGATCGGCTGACGGATGATGATCTTGTTGATGTCGTTGAACTCGTTCCAGTCCTCGTCACTGAAATGGGCAGCAGGGTTCATGGTTCATCCATTCAGCGTCCATGTCAACTCGTCAAATTCCCTTGAATACTAACGAACATCTCGTTCACCAGCATTGAATTTTGCGATAGACGTGCAGCACAGCCGACTGAAGAACCGACACGCCGCGCAGCCCTTCCCGTTGCCAGCTCAGAGCTGTCCACTCACCCGAGATTGGTGTCCTTGATGAGCGGCTCGAACTTGGGTCCGCCCGGGATGGCCATGTTGAGCGCCTTGGCGGTGAAGAAGGACTTGAGGTCGAAGAGGTAGAAGTAGTTGTCGTCGACCAGGTCTGTGAGCAGCTGATTGGCCAGCCGGTACAGGGTGGCCATCTGCGGCAGACTCAGCTGCCACCGACGGTACGTCGAGCCGTTCACGTGCCTGGCGGGACAGGAAACGCTGTCAGAACGACACAGAACACAGGGTGCGCTCACAAACTACAGCAACAGACAGCTGAAAATGCTCATATAAGAATACAGACATCCAATGCCTAGATTGAAAACATGCCCCACATGAATCCAATCGATACTATGATTTTTACGTAAAAAGAAAAACGAAGCAGCAAATCCTCCGCACAAATCTCCCCTTCACAAAACCACCGCATCAAATCACCTCTAAAAACTCTCACTTTTCCATCCTCACACCCTCCCCTTGCTCACTTTGTGTCGACGAGCGGCTTTCCGTCATAGAACCACTGGCTGACGGCGCTGTCCTCCTCCTCGCTCAGCTCGATCTGGATCGCCTCCAGAGGCTCCACGTCCAGGACGTTCTCGGCGTAGTCCAGCGGCGGCTCCTCGTCGTCGAACGGCGGGAAACGCATCCGCTTGAAGTGGCGACGGTCGCGCTTCTCGCGACGCATCATGATCCACATCGTGCTGCGAAGGGGGTCAGAGGAGGTCAGGAGCGTTACCGCATGGGGCTGAAAAGTAACCACGAGTGTTCTCGCAGTAATTGTGACAACAGTGTATTTATTTCATCTGCTTTAACGTTAGCACGAAGTAACTGGAAATAATTTAAAATAATAATTCATGAGAAATAATTTACGAAAACTGCCCATCAATAGGGTATTCACTTGTTCTAGGGACACATTTGTCATTGTTGCATCACTGTTCGTATATTTTAGTACAGCGTTTTCATTAACAGATCGGAGCATAAACAAAAACTAAGACAGGATGTTGAGCACTGTTATGAAATGAGACTGTTTGGCTCGACACTCACCCCCACTGGGCGATGTACACTGGCTCGATGACCCAGGGGATCTCGTCGACGAAGGTGATGGCCCCGGTGATGTGGTAGAGGACGCGGCAGTCGCGGATCTGCTCCCACGGCATCGGCATGTTCTCCAGCAGCTTCAGGATCGCGTGCGGCATGTACTTGAGCGCACTATCAACAGAAATTGAATGTCACCAATAATAAAGCCACTGCTCTTAAAATACACGAAAAAAAAACATAAAACCGCTGAATGGAACTGGTACGGTATTAGGCTCTAAGTAAGCAGCTTTCCAGCGGTCCCTCGATTAAAAATAAACGGTGAAATAAAGCTATCAAAAGGGATATCACAAGCAGCAACTGCCCACAATCAACATCAGTGTCGTCATTTGTTATGAAGCACATTTTCGGTAGCGTGTGTCCGAAGTCCTATCTGCGCCACCCCTCCCTCCGCACTCTCTCTCTCCCGTTCCCGTCACCACTCTCCCCCTCTCAGTCTCACCCGAGGTAGACGCGCTTGTCGTGCCGGTACTTCCTGCTGCTCATGTCCCCGTGGTCGCGGATGATTTTCCGCAGGTGCTCCGGAGGCATCTCCTCCTTCTGCGCGTCCACGAAGCCGAACTTACGCTTCTCGGCATAGCGCTTACTCTGCAGCTGCTGCCACTTGCGCGCCTGTACACGACATGGGGCGATACGGAACACGTCAAACGCTGCCCAGAATATCGCCGTGCTGCCAACCCAAATAAGGAACCAGTCATGGTGAAATGCATGCATGGATAGAACAGCCAAAACAATAGCATGATATCAATGAAATACTGTATCATCTGGTTTCACTCAGCAATGCCAATTATGGGCGCCACGCACGTACCTTTTCCTGCAGTTTCTCCTCTGTGATTTTGTCGAGCTGCGCCTGCCGCTGGGCCTGCGCCTGCTGCTGGGCCAGCTGGGCCTGCTGCTGGGCGGCGTGGTGCTGGTGCTGCGCCAGCTGCGCCTGCTGCTGCGCCAGCACCGCCGCCCACGGGTTGCCCGGGATCAGGTACGGCGGCAGCGCCATGGCCACCGAGCTGTGCTCACTCGCTCACACGCACAATGGGATGCGACTGAAACCAGACACAACGGTTATAAAGCGATCATTCATCATTGTGAACACAGATAATGTAGTATAGTGGTTCACTGGGAAAGGGGATTGTGCAATGTGGATGCCATCCTGAATTGGATGTGGATACAGAGAGGAAGAAAACGACAGGTACCTGGCAGAAATGGAGTGATCCCATTCTGCCAACTCTTGTGATTTTCACATTTTCTCTCTACATTCATCAATTGTCAAATGAAAAGGGGGCAAAAATAAGGCTATTTCATGATGCTAGACTGATAGACCCACCTTTACCTAAGAATATAGAGGACCTTCAAATGGCGGGTAGGTGAAGAATGTCGAACATTACCATTAACAAACAGTATACAGATCATTAAGTTATTGTTCCCTTGGCAGCTTAGCTTTATTTGGTGTAGGGCTGCTCAGTGCCTCAAGATCAGTGCATGTTAGAAAATGTCTGCCTGCTCATAAATCCATTTTCCTCAGCAATCTACTCAAGATACCACAAGTGAGAACACATTCTGTTCACAATAATATATGACCTTGTTTGAAATGACAAACTTCGTTTAATGGAAAATGGTCATAATGTGAGTACTTAAATGCTTTAACATTACATGTCATTTGTGTTTGCAATAGTACTTAGTTCAGCTATGTTTTACCATCCAAGTAATATAAAAATCTACCAGAAAAAATTCAATTAATAAGGCAGTCAGTTTGATAATTGGTGGCCCCTGGTTTGACACTGCTAGATAGAACTATAAAGCTGAATATTGCAACTATGCATGGCTCACAAACAAATTACACAGAAATTGAGTTCTAACTTACAGTATGAGCATTCTTCAGTGTCTTCAAGTTCAGACTTAAAAAATGTCGAGCATAACACTAGTGCAAAAGAAGGGTTTCTGCCTTATATATTCTTAAAAAAGGATCTAGGTGCAATATGAGTTGGCTGATAACCAAACTACTCATGGGATCCCATCCCATAGAGTACCAAACTGCAACTTTTGGTCTCAATGGAGTGACATGTAGTTATAGACATTGCCATCAGGGCTAGCAAACATAAAATATTAGTCAAAAGTTTTTGCATGTAGTGCAGATCATGACTTTGTTTGCAAACACTCTTGCACTATAGATTTCCAGTTGTGTGTAAGCAACTTAAATGAATTTATATTCTTTGAAGGTAAACATTGAAAACAACATTACAAAGGTATATGTCCTGAGCTAGAGGTAAAAGTGGAGGTACCTTACAACAGAAAATTATGTAAAAGCTCCAAAATTCCAATAAATAAAAATATTCAGGAGGAAACCTGTAATCATGGGTGGGTAGGCCAACAAGTAATTGCGTATCTAGTCAATGTGGGCACTTCATCTAATGGTTTAACCCTCGCATGTGTGCGACGTTTGCCAGCTTCTAATGTGTAGGGGGGGGGGGTCGGTTGGACCCCCCCTTGCCGTTTGGCCCCTGATCGAGCTAGAGCTTCGCGGAAAAAAACGAGCGTGTTGCCCGTGACGACAGGAAGCCGATGATACCCAATTTTAAGGTCCTAGGTCATTGGTTGACCTTCCAGGTCAGGTCAATGACCCAAAGTCGGGAAAATCGGGACCTGTTAGAAAGTCGTAAAGTGTGGCTTCTGAGGGGTTTTTCGGGGTGCTGATCACGAATATCGTGTTAGTTTTGATCACAGATGATGTCTTTAAGCATTTAGACCAGGTCGGGTCAGGTCAGGTCAGGTCAACCAGTAGGCGTCGTGACGGGTATTCGTAGTACGTGTCAACCGCCTCTGCAGCTTCGTAACATGTTACGAAGGCACCAAAACTACTTCGTAAATGTTCAAATGGTTGCTAAATTCGAATTCAGCTTCAAAAACTAGCCTAGAAACATGTACAGCTCGAAAAAGTGAACCGAGGTCACCCGAGGTCACCAAAAGTCAATGACCTGACCTGACCTTCAGGTGACCTTGACACCCACCCTAATGCATGGAAGCAACATCAAATCACATGTTTGAACGTTTGAAACCACGAAAAGCTTGCAAACGCGCGGCCAATGCGAGCCGACATACGCAGAATCGCGATTCCGGCCAAACATGGTCTCGGAAAAGAGATCACAGGTCAAAGGTCATTTGGGTCAGGGTCATGAAATTTTCAGGGTAGGTGTAAAATTGATCAATGTGAGGGTACTGAAAGTTTCGTCGCGATCGGCCGCTTTTTACGCGAGTTATTCGCGAAAAACCATGGGGGGGGTCCATCCGATCCCCACCCCTACACATGCGAGGGTTAAATGCCTAGGGTATGTGACATGTGTGAAGATGAAGTCCAAGTGGTGTGTATAATGTGGGTTCATAGGTTGGTAGGTTGGTACCTATGTTGTAGGTTATAGGTAGTAGATTGGTAGGTTGAGGGTTAGTAGGTTAGTAGGTAAGGTTAGGACAGCTTATATTTTTTATTTCTGGGACTTCATCTTCACACTTACCTCAAATAGAAGGTAATAAATTTGATAGGCTGACATATCCATTATCAACTATCCCCCTAGATGTTGGACACATTACAGCATATGAAATCCTTCAAAACAGGTTATAGACACTGATTACAAAAGAAGATGCTCACAGCTCGAGGTAATTGAAGGTAAGGTAAGGTAATATCACTCAAGTCATATGGAGTCATGTCACACATGCCACAGAAATAACCAGAAATATTTATGAACACTCTAAAGCAGGAGAGATTTCAGAGTTACTGTGAAGTTAAAATTACCTACTTATTAATACAAAATGGCTCACCTAACAGCCTATTTATGGTGAATACTTACAATCACCAAATTCTGATGTCCATTCTAACTTTAGGGACAAACTGAAATTAAAATGACCTATCATCAAAGTGAAAAGGTTTACCAATTATGATGGAGTTGGATGTGAGGTGATCCAAGCTTTCAGTGGTGTGTGTAGTGGCACTCACTCTAAAAATTCACTCTAATCATGCATATGCTTGACTTTGAAATTCCGCTTTGTTCAACAAAATGCAAGTGCACAGACACATTGACATCTAACTCACTGTAACCTTGACCTTCAACAAAGGAACATGAAACTAAACCTGTGTTTGATGTCTTGGATGGCAAAGATTCTATGTTGTCCGAGAGACATCAATCACGGGGTAAAGCACTGGAGTACAGCCCCATCATTTGCTTAACAATCACCACAAGATGCAGCCGAAGAAATCTAATGACCTTAAATATTATGTACCCTATGATAATATTTTGAAAAAAAAATAACAGGAAAAGAAAGTGAAAAATCCAATGCCAAGAGAACCTTCAAATTGAAAATAATCGGCAAAGGACAACCCATAAAAAAGTAGCTGAAAGATCACCTGAATATGATGTAGAAGAAAATTATGGCATGTCTTCCCCAAGTCAAAAGTAAATCAAGTGGTTCATATCAAGAATATAGCACTTAAATCAGGCACGTGAACAACGTGAATTAAATTCACGTGAAATTGACTTAAATTCCAACCGGTCACACAAAACTCATTCAGCAAAGAGCGTGCTTCAGTCAAAGTGACGCATGTTTTGCACGTTGTTATGCGGGAGGGTATTTTTATGGAAGCTGTTTCGCTCAATGACGTCATTTCACAAAAAAAATTGAAGCCAGTGAAAATATCTGCCTTTGCGTTTAAGCAACCAATTATCACAAAATGGAATGTTATTTCTTTTTTTTCTGAATAAAATCTGCCATTATAACCGGAACACAGGCTGCAGAGATGTAAAAGATGCTATTTCCTGGTAGTCATGACGTCTACTTTTAGAGCTGCCAAATTAAGGATGTTATTGAGTTGACAAAACTGACGCGGGAAACGTTTGTAATTCCTGTTGCATAATTGAATTGAATTGAATCAATTTAATTGCATTTTGCTGACAAGAAAGGTAATTTCGTGGTATTCTGCACCTTTGTACCGTTGTGGCTGGAATTTCAGCCACAACGGTACAATTTTCGTTTAAACTTTTCGCCAGTTTATTTTTGTTATTTGCAGCTCAATTTTGTCTCTTAATTCTGTAACTTGAACCCAAAATTTGATCAATAATGCTTCTGGTTTTTCATATTGGATTCCTTTTTATTGTCTGTCAGGACTTTGAGTCATGCATACATATGCTTTGATATGAAAATCCAAGCAGTGAATAAGTCGGGTGCTTAAGGCACCTATATAGGCCATGGAATAACAATTTGGACTAAGTGACCCAGATCAAAACCCTGTTCCCAATCAGGGTATGTTCCCAATAGCTCTGGAACAGGGTCAGTGACATTGTATGGTCCCAAAGTGCTTTTCGCTGAGGTTATTGTAGTGTAGCACCATTGGCACTAATTTCAGGTGTCATCCTCTATCACCATTTCACTAATACTGGATTTGATATTTTTGGTCCAATTTCCAGCAATTTCCTCTAGATACTAGTTTTTAATTAATTTTAGTACCTACCTACTTTTTCCAATTAAAATCTTTTTTCCCTTGGCTTGCAGCTGGGAAGAGTATGTCTCGCTTAGGTTCGAAATTGGAATATGATAGCCCTGGACAATGTTCTCTGGACTCAGTGGTCACTATTGCCTCTACAAAATCTTCCAATTTTTCACTGCTAGGATGTTGTAATATATGACCTTCATTGTTTGATGCAGCATTTTTCATAACCTTCATATTGTCAGTGCATGTTTTGTTTTCAGATAGCACCATTGCCACATTTGCAGGGCAATGGAACAGTTTTGAAGACACTCCCCAAGTGAGCTGCTCCACCAGTGACTGCTGTGCTCAGCCCTGCTGTAGCATCAGCGATGGGTCAGAGTCACAGCCACCACCGGCAGGGCCACGCCGCCGCCGCCGTCGCCGCGCCGGTCGACACGACTCCCTCGTTCCTGGCCAAGCTGCGTGACGCGCTGGTGGCGCGCTCCGCGGACGGCGCCGTCTCCCGCCAGCTGTTCGGGCTCGTCTTCCCGAACAACGAGACAGTAGCCGGGGTGCTGTTCGAGCACTTTGTGCGCCGCTCGCCGGCCTCCACGGGCGAGGCGCTGACGCCCGCCGACTTTGTGTCGCGCTGCGCGGAAGTGTGCGACCTGATCTCAGAGCACGATCAGGTGGAGTACCACCTGCGCGCGTTTGCCGACCGCGAGGACGCGCTGTCAGCCGAGCGGCTGCGCCAGCTCGTGCTGCAGGCGTACGACGCGGCCATGTGGGCGCACCCGAACACGGTGTCGGTCGGCTCGCTGGCCGTGGACGAGATTCTGGGCGGCGTGGCCGAGTCGGTGCTGCACGGCCGACCAGAGGTGGGCGTGGCGTTCGCGCGCAACTGGGTGCTGCAGCACTGCCCGCGTCTGCTGCGCTCCCTGCACCAATACGTGCTGCACCGGATCACTACCGGACACGCCGACCTGGCGGCGGCCGGCAGCGACACCGGCGGCCACGAGGCGGCGGCGGCGGCCGGCCCCGGCGGCGGCACGTGCGTGCTGGAGAGGGCGGCCGCCTCCAGTCTGACGGGCGTGCACCCGGCGCTGGTGTGGCTGCTCATGTGCTCGCTGCCCGAGTGCTACACGCGGCCCAGCTCGGCCGAGAGCCTGCCCTCGCTGCCGGCGCTGGCGGCGCTCGACCCCGGCCAGGCGATCGGCCGATTGGCGCAGGCGGCCGCGCCCAAACACTGGGTGTCGCTGTACAGCTCGGCCGAGCAGGGTCTGAGCGCCAGCCGGCTGCAGCACCACGTGCTCTCGTACCGCGGGCCGACCATCACACTGGTGCGCGCCGAGGAGCACCGCCTGTTCTGTGTGGCGGCGGACGTGGGCTGGCGCGACTCGCCGCACTACTGGGGCGGCGCCGACTGCATGGCCATCCAGCTGCTGCCGCAGTACCAGGTGCTCTGCAGCCACCAGGCCGACGTCATGTTCTACAACCAGTCGGCGCGCGGCCTGCCGTCCGGACTGCGCGTCGGCGCCGACCGTAAAACGCCCGCCGTCACCGTCGACAAGGATCTGAGCATGTGCTCGAGCCGCGGCGCGCCGTTCCGGCTGGAGGGCCTGGAGGTGTGGGGCTGCGGCGCGCCGGCCGCACGCGACCAGCAGATCAAGTCGCAGAAGCGCGACCAGGCGGCCATTGAGCAGCGCCGGAAGGTGAACATTATGGCGGACACAGAGTGGGGCGAGAACCCCGACCGCTATCTGCTCGAAATGTCCGGCGCCCACAAGAGCTACAACTACAACTGACGGCCGCGTCGGGCCCCGGCCGACCGGGACCGCGGCACCAGAGGTGTAGGATGGCCAGCGCTGATCGCACGCGCCAAGCCGACTGACTGGCAGCTGGTGAAGAGGTACGCTCAATCACTGCAGACGCGATCGTTCCTGCGTGCCGTGTTGGTTGCTCTGATGGGTCGGGAGCTATGCAGCGCAGGGCTTTGCGAAGCGCCAACTTGTTATTTATCTGTTAGCGTGAATGAGTTTTATGGAATATGATTTTATTTTTGAAGCTAACACCTTACGAAGAAAGGAACTTGCAATATAAGTGAGCTGTTATTTGGGGTGCTGCGGAGTCCTAACGCACATCATGATCAGTGTTGTGTTACAAAATACTTTCAGGAAGTGTTGTGTCATAATGGAATCAACTTCTAGTGATCTTGGCACGATATTTGTTTCTCATTTTTACCATCTGCTACCATCGCTCACTCCTCGCCCCTTAGTGGCCTGTTTAGATGTACGCTCATCAGTATTCTGTGTTACTCGTATTTCGCCACGTCATTAACTTACGCTGCGGGGAATGACTGTGCGGATGCCTTGGGTTCGGCCTACATAGCCGTCTTCCACTGCGGTGATGTGATGTTCCTTTGCATTCCACACGGGGCACCCGATGACTCCCACTGAGGCCAGTGCCATGCCTAGGGCGAATGTAGCGAGCGTGTGACAGTGTCGGCAATCACGTCACCCTACGACGAACTTCGAACGAACTTATTGCGCGTGTGCACGCTCGCCAGGTGCGTAAACTATGAGTATAGTAGGAGCGAGCTGTTTATGGTATGGATAAAGTCTAGTTATGTAAAAATGTGTTTGTGGCTACTGTAACGCCCATCAGTCGCGACAATCAAACCGTGATCCTCCACTTCCCGGGCATTGCATGTGCTTTGTGGCGAGCCACGTACCGGCGGCACGAACTGGGCTATCGCAGTACCCCAGCTGAGACTGGCGGCTTCCTTCCGGGTGGCCGTCCGTCAGAGTCGCGCACTCGCGAGTCGGTTAGAGGCCTTGTATTAACACCTGCAGCACCGAAAACGGCGCCAACTCGCGCTCCGTCCCGCCACTTTGGAGATTAAGACTATTTACAGTAAAACGGCCTCGATCGCTCACCCGCCCCGCGTTTGGCACACTCCCCATCGGTCCCCGTAAGGGCACTTCACGGGCCGCGCGGCCGGCGGACTGCAGCCGGGGCTCCACCGGGCCGACTGCGGTCGACGCGCGCGCGGAGGGCTCGCGGACCGTGGTGATTGCGGGCCGCGCGGGCGGGGGCGGGGCGCGAGCGGGAGTCCCGCGCACCCGCTGCATAGGTGATCGTCATAGAGTCTGCATAATTCATTGCTACATATCACAAACAAAGGGGGCGGTAGAGCGCGAGCGTGATTGTAAGCTGGCCGTGAGGGACAGAGGTTTGTTTCAAGCATCTCTAGAGAACCAAAAAACTCATATGCGGCAGATTTGAGTCCGCTGATGTTGTCGGTACATTTGATTCAGATACCACGGCGGCCGCGCCTCAGACAGCCGGCCCTCCGCAGACCTCACTGTCGCACGAATTCTATGATCTCACGGTTTCACTTAAACACGGTCGAGCCGTTAAAACATTCACTCCACACAGCTCCGAACATCTCGTTATACCGTCGAGTCGGTTAGACCGCCCGGCGCGCGGGTTAAACGCTGAACGCGAACTACGACTCGAACAGCTGGGGACGACGCCAACATCGTCCGCCGGAATCCTCCGGCGGAGGCCGAGGCCGGACAACGCAGCGCTCCCCGGCCGCTTCACTAACCCATGCAGGGAGGGTCAACACAACCCAGGCGAGCGGTCTCCGAGTCGACTGTTGATGCAGTCGTGGCTTTTGGGGAAGTCGCCACAGGCCGTACGCACCAACTAAGACCGTTCTTCGCCCCCCCCCCTCTCAGACGTTGTCGCGCGCGTCATTATATCATACGGGAGTACGTCGATCAGTTGCATAGACTAAAGCGGCGCAGTCGAGTTGTGAGACGCCGGCGGACGGCGGGGTCTCCACCGGCCGGGAGTGACACGCTCACCGCCACTCTGCACACACATACGTTCACACCAGTCCCTTGTCACACGTTCACACGTCTCACAGGCTCAGAATGCCTCTCACCGGCCGCCGCCCCGAGGGTGAATCTCTGGCCGCTCTGTCTCTGTGGTGAGCCGAGTGCAGCTCAGTCTCACTGCTCAGTCGCGGCACCACTGCGCTCACCAGTTCCAGATTATGCGAGACGAGCGCGACCGGGTGACTTGCTCTGGCCTCGTGACGCCCTGGGCCTGGCCCGCCGCGGGCCAGGTGGTCAGGGAAGTGGACCCGGGCGCCGGACCCTCTGGAAGCCGCCTCTCGGCCTCCGACGGTGGCCGCGGAGGTACCGCCGCTCCTCTCCTCGGCCGTCCACTCACGGTAAAACGACATCCAAAAATAAGACGGGCGCTGGCGGTGAGCCGCCGCGCGCGCTCGCCGCGGCCTCTCACATCTGCATCGGCTGGGCGGCGGCCTGCTCGGCGGCCGCCGCGTTCGCCCGGTTCCGCCGCTTGGCCAGCAGCGAGTTGTCCGAGTTGGCGATGCTCTTGAGGTTGATCTGGTCGTAGTCGACGCGCATGGTGGCGAGCGAGCGGGTCATCTCGTCCTGCACCTCTGGCCACTGGTCCTCCTCCTCCTTCAGCACCTGGGCCGTGCAGAGCGGCGTCTGCGGCACCTCGGCGTATTTCTGCAGACAGACACACAGAGGTCAGGGAACGCACAGACACACAGACGGAGGTCAGAGGGCCACAGAGCGGCGTCTGCGGCACCTCGGCGTATTTCTGCAGGCACAGATACAAATAGAGCTTGAAGACCAGCCGGCCGTTGCCGGACAGAGGGACAATAGGCAGGAAGTGTGCAAAGAGGATATACCTTAGCGTCATTAGGACTGCATGGTGAAGGAGACTCCTGTGTCTTTCACTATGCAGTCCTATGCAGTATGCAGTCCACTGGCGCGCATCAAACAGGTCAACTTGATAAGTGGATCATGTCTTATCAAAGCGAAAGACGGAATGGCAAAGAATGAAACAATAGAGGCAACTCGAGTGGTCGAGGTTCGTATACGAAAAGCAGTAAGCACATTTCATTCTACCAAGTGTGAAAAAAATGTACCCCAGTTTATGTTTACGTGTTAACCCGCGCCCTGCTGGGGGGGGGGGGGGTGTTTGAACACCCCCCCCCTTGTGGTTTTTGGTACACCTTATCATACATCAATTCTACACATGTTGTGAAAATTTCAGACCAAGGTCATTCAAGGTCAGGTCACCAGGTCACTTGAAGTGACCTCACCTCATAAAAAGTTTCAATGTCTGTCATAGCTACACCGAGTGACCGATCGCTTTGAAACTTTCAGCGATTGCTAAGAACAATAGCATGTACAAAATGTATATCTCAGAATTTTGATATCGATGACCTAAGGTCAGGTCAATTTTGCGACCTCCCCATTATAAGTCAATGGGAGAAAATTGAAATGCGCCTAGTCTTTTGGACGAAAGAAATTATAAACACTCCCAAACACTGAATTACAAGTGGTTTAGACACACTGAACATGAAAATGGTGTCCGTGACCCCTGTTTATGCCCTGAGGTCATCTTAGGTCACGAATGGTATCTAACAGTTTTTCGCAAATAACTTTTGATAGAGGCACGCTAGAGCGATGAAAACGCCTTAGATGTGTTCAGCTCGACGATACGAATCGACTGATATGCAACATGACCCTTTCCGGTCAGGTCATGACCTTGACCTGAGGTCAAATTTTCAAGTTGACCTTTCAAGGTCAAGTTATAGTTCATTCGATGCGTCTTGACGAGAGAAACACGATGCCGGTAAAAGTAAGCTCGTACAAGGCTTGGGTCAAAAGTTATTGCAGAAAAACTGTTTCCGAAAAATCGGCTATTTTTGCAGTTTTTGCCCCCTGCAAGCAAAACCGTTGACGTTAGGTCAAATCTGAGAAAATTACTCAGAAAGGGCGTTAATAGGGCTATCGAATGCGCTTTTCCGTGGCGCTGTAGCTCTATTGGTTCCCAAGTTATGCGCTGGCTTCTTGGAAATTGTCGACATTCGACCTGGAAATCAACGAAATTTTGCCTTCAATGACCTCTGGTGACCTGACCTTTGACCTGACCAAAAAATTGACTGAAGTGATTTCGTCATTATTTTTGACGCTCTTTCGAACGCCGCCTTCCGCGTATCGCTACGTGGCCCAGGAGCCCAGTTAGAAGGGGGGGGGGGCGTTCAAACACCCCCCCCCCCAGCAGGGCGTGGAAATCCAGGACCCCCAGCCGGGCGCGGGTTAAAGAGCATTACATAATGCTCTAGATACGACATGGTCTTCCCGTATATTGATAGATGCATTGGGGCCCATGAATATAACCCGTCAAGACTGATGAATAAATCATCCGACCAGTCCAGATATATCCCGATCCCGTCGGGCGTGAACGCTGCCTTTATCTCACCCTCAATGGCCCCGGCGCCGTCCCAGCACTCTCAGCAGATTGGTCCCCGAATCATCATACACACCTCGGCTCACAAATCACCAATATCAATGTGCATAAATCCAATATCGCGGCCACAGCCGCCCCGTTAGCGGCGACCCGTCCCCGGTCCCATGCATTACCCATCGGCGCCCGTCGGAGGGTCGTGAGGCGCGCCCGTCGGAGGGTCGTGAGGCGCGCCCGTCGGAGGGTCGTGAGGCGCCCGGCGGAGGGTCGTGTGGCGCTCGGCGGAGAGCCGTGAGGCGCGCCCGGCGGAGGGCCGTGTGGCGCCCGGCGGAGGGTCGTGGGGCGCCCGTCGGAGGGTCGTGAGGCGCGCCCGTCGGAGGGTCGTGAGGCGCGCCCGTCGGATGGCCGTGAGGCGCGCCCGGCCGTGGCACTCACCGCGATCCACTTGTGTCGCATCACGTCCTCGATGGTGGGACGGTGCTGCGGGTTCGTCTTGAGCATGTCTCTGATGAGCTCCTTGGCCTCCTTGCTGACGTTGCGCCACTCGGGGTTGGGGAAGTCGTACTCGCCGGCGCGGATCCGCTTCTTCATGCCGGGCGAGATGGCCAGGCCGTGGTTACTGTAGAACGGCGGGAAGCCGCACAGGCTGCCGGGAGGAGAGGGGTGGTCAGGGGGCAGGTCAGACGGCAGGGCGTGGGGCAGGTCAGAGGACGGGTCAGATGGCCGGGCACGGGGCGGGTCAGACGGCATGACGCGGGGCAGGTCAGAGGACGGGTTAGAGGGCCGGGCACTGACGAGCCGGGTCGAGGTCAGAGTGGTTACATAACGGTCGGAGTCAGTGAAGTGTCTGGGTCAATACTCCTCACAGATGAAACCTGCTCCCCTGGGTCCGTGGACATTAGGTCTATCTTAGAGTGCATCGATCTTGGAGCGGCCCCGGTGCCGAACCACCACTAACTTATTCACCGGCAATAACCGACCGGGCCGACCCGTTAGTGGAAGTTGGTCGGCGCCCTGCCCACACCCTGCATCCAGAGTACGGGACAGCTCGCGGCACCGCCCCCACTGCTGGCGAATTTCGTCTGACCGTCCCGTCGCCGGGCACTCACAGGATGTACATGATGACTCCCAGGCTCCAGATGTCGCACGAGCGGTCGTACTTTTCCGGGCCGAGCACCTCCGGCGCCACGTAGTAGGGCGTGTAGCAGGGCGTCTGCAGCGAGTCGCGCGCCAGGATCTCCTTGGCGAACCCGAAGTCGGTCAGCTTCAGCACGCCGTCCTCGCCTGACGACAGGGAATGGAGGAGCGGTGAGACAGGAGACACAGAGCGGTGAGGCAGAGACACGGAGCGGTGAGGCAGGAGATATGGAGTGGCGAGACTTGGTCATGGAACGAGGAGACAGGAACACGTGGAACGATGGCCAGAGAGTGGTCAGCCAAAATAGTCACACACAGTCACGGACCATGGCCAGAAACGCTGGCAGCGGACAGAAATAACGCCGAGTTGGCTAGCACAGTGTTCATACCTAGAAACGCTGGTCACGAACAAGCATTTAATGTAAAACGCCGAAATGTACACGTCAACAAAGTCGCTGCAGGCTACACTGCACTGCAGGCACCCAGAGTGACGAATTATAGAATAGAGCTTCCAGTGATCATGCTGTATCGTACAACGGAAACCTTGCACAACAGAAACAGTACTGCGTGTCATATTTTATTTTACCGGAAATAATGCGCCACGATGGTCAAAAGTAGAACGAACGTATTGACTGATCACTTTGTGATGTAGCATGATGCTGATTTTCATTGTTACCCACTAACACATCGACGCCAACTACGTAGTTTGTTTGAAACCAATCACGCCCCACCTGATTGAACATGTATCAATCCAGGAAAACCTGAATTCCCACAACTATCGATATCTTGCAGCCCAGGTGGGCGCCGCAGTGACAGTCGGCGGCCCGGCCGTAAATATTGATCTGTTCGGGTGGCGAGCTAATCCGGACCTCTGCTCTGCCGAGCGAGCGCTAAAAAATGACACTAATATGGCCGATAGGAATCAGCAGCGATACCGGAGGCGCGCGGTGAATGTAATCGTCGGCAAACTTGCCTAACTTCGGTGGTTTAGGGGAGGGGTGGGTATAATCATCGGTAAACTATCGTATCTTTGGCGGTGTAGAGAGTTGATTGGTATAATCGCTGCCGTTGGCAAACTCCCGTAACTTTGGTGTCGTAGGGGGATGGTGGGGTATAAAGGCCGGTAAACATCGTACCTTTGGTGGTGTAGAGAAGGTTCTCCGGCTTGAGGTCGCGGTGCGCTATGTTGACAGAGTGCAGGTGATAGACGGCCATACAGATGGAGTGGACCACCTCGGCCGCCTCTGCGGAACAGGAGGGTAACATACGTCACACATAGACACGTCACGCACGGCCGTCACAGCCGACAGCCGGGCCCAGCGCCGCCACAGTTGCAGGGGCGCCCCCCCCCCCCTCCCCCCCCCACTAGCCGCAAACCCACCGGTAGATGCGGCTGATACAACACCGCAGCACTGACAGCCAGTTCGCAGTGTGGGCGGCACAGGAACACCAAAGTATGCAGTACAGGACCGATCCACAAGGGCGGCACGGCGGTCGGATTGCGTACTCCACACACACAGTGCCCACGCCACACACACGCCACAATACCGATAAATACGTAACACATAAATCATCCGACGCCGTATGAGGATAACAAGATAAATCGTCCGATTTCCGGGGAAGCCGGACACAAACGCTATAGGAAATGTCACCTTCTCGGAAGTTTCCGATCAATAAATACCAACAACGGGACATTTCAACAAGAACGCCAGACAAGTCACAAATAGGTTATTATTCCCCAAACCGCTTGTGGAACAGATTCACGAAATTGTGCCTGTGTGTAAATGACTTCTCTTTGGATTAAGTAGGTACCTTCACGCAACTCCCGTATATGCGGGCTAATCTATGAGGATCTGGCGCGCAGCTGACGTACCGCGTTCGGTGAAGGCGCCGTTGGGCCGGTCCTGGATGCGCTGGAACAGCTCGCCGCCCTCCATGCACTCCATGACGATCAGCAGACAGCGGTTAGTGCCCTGCATGTTCTCGTACACGGCGTGGATGTTGACGATGTGCGGGCAGGCCGAGGCGCGCCAGTGGATGTCCACCTCGCGCCGCGACTTGGGGTTATCGCGTAAAATCTGCCGCACACAGGGCCGGGCGGGCCGGGCGGTCAGTAGCCGCAGTGTACCCAACAGGGAGTCAGCAGTCACCCTCCGGCCGCCGCCGGTATCAGGCCGGTACCAGCGGGAGGCGGATGGTCCCGAGCGGCGACTCTCAGCCATGCCGTGAACGGTCAACAAACACGGGCTGACTCAGCGGGGAAGACAGCCGGTGAAGTGTTCCACGACGGCGATAAACGACTGCTATCGGAAATGAAAGGTGGGCGGGGGCGGGACGTAATCCCTAGGTCGGTACTTTAATGCCAGCACACATAAGGAAGAACCGAGACCATTCCATGAAAATTAACCCTTAAAATACCACGAAGCATAAGAAGCGCATCAGAAACGTACATAGGAATCGCCCTTGCAAGATTTTGATAATCTTTTAGGAAACTATCGAGAATGCAAAACAGCGATTAAAAGCTCAGAGCACTAGGTCTGGAGACGTAGGAGACATCGACCGGCTTCAATTCATCCGGCCGGCAGAGCTCACCTTGAGGGCGTATTTCTTTCCTGTGGCCTTGTGGACGCACGCCAGCACCTTTCCGTTGATGCCGAGCCCGAGCACATGACTGGACAGCGTGTAGTCATCGCTGATGGCATGCTTCTTGGGCACCAGCGGCTCGCGCACGGGAAAGGTGATATTCATAACGTGCTAATGGGTGCAGCAGCGGCGGCACCACCCTTTCTGGAACAACCACAGACCCTGTGTGAGCGCACGGGAGTAGCGTGGCTTATCTGCGAGACACACAGAAACACTGGCAACTGAATCAAACGTATGCGGTAAATACGAAACAAATTACTGACATATTACGTAGAACTGTGAAACAAAATCAAAATAACAGACAAAAAACATTATGTACCCGGAAGTTCATATTATGTTAACAGTAACGCAGCAGGCCGATCGATAGCAGGCCATTTTTTCTAAACACAAGTTTCAATGGATAGGCAATGAACATCAAGTAGGCTAACTAAAGGCACGAGTCAGCATGAACACATCGGCACGGTCATGGTATGAGCATTAATCTTCCTTTTTGTTCGTGTAACTCTCATCCCTTGACTCAGTCTATTCCACGAATCTGTCACAGTATGACATGTTTCACGACAGAGACGCGGAGGTGCGATACGTGACACTGTGGGCGTAAATATTATGGTGGGGTAACTTAGCGTGACTTATCAGCACCGAGTGGGCGCAAAAAGCGATGTACCTTGGAGAGAGCACGTGCCAAAAAAGCAATGCTTTCCACTCAAATGCCACAAAGCATGCAAGTGCTAGCATAGCAGCCAGCTTTATAGAGTTCAGAGCGGCCAGCCAATGGAGAGTGCTGCGGCATATGGGCCATTTGCAGGCGTGTGTCTGTCACGTTAGTGCGGTACACATAGGAAGCATCTCGTTATGACTAATGATATACGTCGATTTATGAAAAAAACCTATGCCCACTTAAGTCACGTAACTGGATAAATTGTACAATTCTAATTGTAGATTGAAAGAGCCGTCATTATCAACAAATCACCGATGTCCAGTGATGACATCAGGGTAAATGATCGGGAAAAGTGGGAGACAATAAGCGTTATAAAGGGGAGACCCGGATGGTATGAGCCATCGCAGTTTTGAAGAAGTGATGCGTATTTTTACACATTTGACCACGTAAACTGGTAGCAGCCATTTCGTTATACAACCCATGAGATTTCCAAAATCTTCCTCAGTCTCCTTTGGCAATGAGCGGTGATAAAAGCGTTTTTACCCTCTTCGAGTAAAATACGGTACATACAGAAAATTCGTGATTAATGTGAGCCAGACTCGTCTTATTATGTCATATCACCTATAACATAAAGTTTAAAGCATGTAAATGAAGACAAGGCAGACAATTTGAAATTTTCTTGCAAGATTATGAGCTGAGATGCTACGTGCATTCTGGCATCTTAACTGGGAGGTTCAGGCCACCCACTCTCCTGGGTCTCCCCTACAACCAACCATGAACGATTTTACCCACGCTTATACGCCTAGACCTAGGCTAATTGTGATATACGCAAGCACGTCGGAGAACATAGTGTTCTCTAAAAAAAGTATGACGTAGAGAAAGAGCGCAAGTTAAGCATTGTGCTGAGTGTGCCAAAAGTATTCTATGCCGGTTCAAACCCTGGGTTCAAACTGCCGATAAAGGTTAAATAGATCGTGGATTAAATCATACAGCGATTTGACCAGTAATTTGCATGCTCCATTGACTAATGACTATACTTCATTGGCGCTAAATGTAGACATGGAGAGTACCAACCAGAAACAGGCCTGCACGCTGCGTACGTGGAGGTCCGGAAATATTCAAACTTTTTATGCAAATTCAACGATGCCAGAAAATCTTTCCCGATTATTTTCCGATGGAACGTCGCCTCGGAGCGATTCGCACATCCGGTGTGGTGCCTCTGCCCCCTATTGATTCAGCCAGCACATGCGGCTTCATTAGCCCATGGGTCTATCCCTCGCTAGTCCTGACTGGAGCTAAAAGAGGGCGTCAGGTTACCAGCCCCTTCCTGCAGACTGCGCAGATACTCGATCGGGGAAGAAGTGGATTGTAACAATGGCAACAAGAACTGCATAAGATGGTGTGAAAGGTCAGTATCCCACAATGCATTGTCATTTCACTGTCAAATCATCTTCAATTGAACATACTGCAGCTTTCAACTATAATATTGCACTGGAACATATCAGGCATGAAAAAGGATAACAAATTTGGAATGCTGGTGATAACATGTTCATCTGGCAATGTATAAATCTCTCAGAATCATTCTATGAAAAAAAACAAAAAATCTGCAAAAGAATGAAACTATAAAATATGAGCAAATAAAACTACTGCAATTAAAATAGGTAGGTAGCCTATGCACAATAAGCTAACCCAAAGGTAAATTCTTGCAAAGATAAAAAACTGAGCAACAACATTTTGTTGCTTAAATACCTTAAGGTATTTATCACAGGCATTCAGGTTTCTGGACCTGCTGTTCTAAGCACCATGGTAACCCTTCTGACAAATGGTATGCATTTCAACTCATTTGGACACATTAGACATGGTCCAGACATTGCACAGGACCAACTTTAAACATTGATCAATAATAAAGATGCTAAAACCGCTGCCATAGTAGCACAGATACCAAAATTATCAACTGCAGTCCAGTATTTTGCCAGTCACCATTCACTCCAATGGCATGTAGATAGCTGAAAATTTAGCAAAAACATGCATAGTTTCATGGATGACTGTGAGCCCTTATGAAGGATGCCACCAGCTCTACATTTAACCCTCGCCCGCACATGGGGGGGTGGTTGCCACCCCCCCCCCCCCCCAGGTAGTCTTTCTGCTCTGCACTCAACATTTTTAGAGCTAGAAGGCTGATTTTTCGCATAGCTGCTCCTCTATCCTTTCTTGATGTCCACTGAAAATTTCAAGTTTCTGTGATTTTTGGTTTAGGAGATATGACCTTGTTTTTCAGGTCATGTCATGACCCAAATGGCCAATTCTCAACATCTTTCGTTTGCCATGGGCCTTGTGAGCTTTTGACACCCTGATTTCGGCCTTTTTTGCCAGTCTTACCTCCCACCTATCATGGAACATGTTGTTCGACGATGTACAGGGGTCAAGGTCAGGGTCAAGGTCAACCTAGGTCATCTAAGATAATTGCGTTTTAGGCAAGCTGAATTTACTTTTTGTGAAGTTTTTTTACTGCATTTTTGGTAAAAGCTTCTCAGATCATGATTTCATGTGATATGGACCCAAAAACAATCGGTGCACACATCAGTATACACACAGACACACACAGACATACAAACACATATAATTGACCTTGACCTAACTTGACCTGAAATGACCTCAGCAGCAAAATTTTGGTCGGATAGTGTGACAAAGAGGTTCTAGCTGGCTTGGCACCAGAAAACAGCATCGTCATCGGTATTTGATAAGCAGCGCACTTGATATCCAACGGTGACCCAAAACAGCAACATTTTTTAGTTTGACCTGACCTGGAAGGTCAATGACTGACCTGAGAAGGTAAAACTGGGTATCATTGGATTCGTCTCTTCTCAAAGAATCTTTTTGGTCTTTACTGCTAAGCTCTATCTCCAACAGGAACGAAATGGCGCGGGGGGGTGGCAACCACCCCCCCCCCCCCATGTGCGTTCTAGGATGGGAAAATAGCATGTGCGGGCGAGGGTTAAGATTTCAAAAACTGTCAACTGAAGACACTTATAAAGCATATAACTGTATTGTCTATTACACCATGAGCCTCAAAGCCACTCTTTTATTTAATATCCATTTTATTATCCTATCAAACTGTTGTTAATGCATAACAGTCTTGGTTTGAACACATCACTGGACACAACTGGACACATCACACAACTCTCTTTTGAGCTCTATAAGCACTGCAAAAAATATGGACAGTTTAATTATGCTATTGCTATGGGCTTGTTCCAGTGGTTCCTCCAGCCTCATCTAAGCTCCTCTAACCTTATCTCATTTAAAAAAGTTGTTCCTGTCACTCCCCTAAGCTCCTCTAAGCTCATCCCAATTTGACATCTCGCCACCACTATTTACCTCCTCCCTCATCCCACAGAAAAGTGATATAAGCCTAGTAATATAATCCTGAATTGCTTATAAGTGAGATTTGAGTGATGTGGAATTGTAAATGATTTTGGGATTACAGCCATTACAGCCAGCCCAGCAAACAGCTGATTTCCTCACAAAAATGTTCCCTTGGCTGCTCTTAAATGGCTCTCGTCGACGCTCATCAATCACATAGTTCCACTTTGACTTACCATTGGAACAGACCCTATGGCAAACAAATTCATGAATTCATATTTAAGAAGACAGCAAAAACCAATAACAACAAAGTGTTATACATAATATGATATAAATTCAAATGGAGTCTCATAGCCAAAAATGCAAATAATTTATCATTTCATTTTTTTCAATGCCAATCATTCAACTCTGAAAGTTGACAAAATTTCCTTTTAAATTTTACAGAACAAATATGAATATCAAATTATTAACAATGATGGGTACACAAATGACTAACTTACGCAGGAAATGAAACAATAAAAGGAACCACCCATCTCAATCTGCATCGTTATCCAGTGGCAATACCGTGGTCAGACGAGACCACAGACGAGACATCGAGGGCCTACTCTCAAAGGAAATGAATGAAAATTGAGGAATATTACATGAGACATCAGATGAAGGGTTAGGTATTTACCTTGCTGAAGATATTCTCGGTTCTAATCAAGGCTATATAACCGTTCTAATGCACCCAAAAATATAGCTGACCGAAAAACCACTCCACACACAAGGCAGCCAAGTGAAAAGAAATAAATGAGTGGGGTGTTCGGAGACTGACGCGCCATAAACGCCTCTCAACAAGAATATGGAAGCAATTTTCCAAATCTATCTAAAAATATTGCTTGAATCATTGTCTTTATTGATTCCAATCGTGTCAGAGAACTCAAAATGATATTCAATTAATTTTTAATGACATGCAAATGTATACGAGTAAATTATATTAGATCTAATCTATGGAAAAAAAGTCAAATTCGCACACATGCTCGCATATTTACGTCTGGACAACGAGTTGCGTTGGAGAGGCCGGAAATAGTGGCGATTTCAGGACCGCAAGAATGGACCGTCATTGGAATGATTCTTTTTTAAACCGTGCACTGTTTTCGGCCGGAATTTAATAGTTGATACAAAATATTTTGTAATTACGTTGTCACCAAGAATGAATGCAATCAGGGCTAAATTTTTAATACTATTGCATTTTGTCAAGAAGCATATAGTGCTGTTATGTTGCAGTTTTAGCGCGTTTGTTACAAAATATGAAGCGAATAAGCGTCAGTGTAATTCATCAACAGTGCCAGAAGTTAACTTGATGGAAAGATATGCTAATTGCTCTTGTCCATCCACTAAAATTTATTAAATATTTTGCTTTGTGTATTCCAAAAGGAGAGGGAACCATTTCATTTGTGCCTTCATGTCAGAATTGAAGGTGGATCATTAAATTTTCAACGCAGTTTACAAACAAGCATTTCAATTTGGTCTTTCTCGTTTATAAGCAGTGGCTAAGAAAAGGTTGATCAATCCTGAAGTTCAGTCATCGTACCTCAACTTGGCAGCAAGATTCCCCAAGGACAGAGGATATATTGTATACATGTCCTGTAAATCAAAACAAACAAGCATTTGGTCTTTCTCGTATATAAGCAGTGGCTAAGAAAAGGTTGATCAATCCTGAAGTTCAGTCATCATACCTCAACTTGGCAGCAAGATCCCCCAAGGACAGAGGATATATTGTAAACCTGTCCTGTTAATCAAAACATTTTTGTGCCTACAAAGGCTTAAGTTATCTGTGGTGTGTTCGGAGTTAGGCTATATGGCTGTTTTTGTTGTATGTTTATGTGGAGATTGAATATAACTGTGACCCTGTGCTTGTTTGTATACTTACGGTCAAACAGGGAACAGCACATTCACATAACATACTCAGTACCTAACTCATAGCTGAACCCTGCAGGATCTGTACTTGTTCATGTCTCGAGCATTAACAAAGCACTAAAGTAGCTTAGTAATCATTTCCCACATTTTTTGAGCATCTAACATGACATACAGCAGTGCAGAGCAGCTTCAGAGAAGAAACACTTTAAATGCACAGACTCACACCAGCCACCCAATGAGCCAGTTCCTCAGTTGACTGTTTCTCTGGATGCAGCTTGGCAATGTGAGCTATAAGTCTAACTTTTGGCAAGTTGAAGGTTAGCAGGTAAGATTGAGTTAGGGTGAGTACCTACCTATAACTGGGTGCTACTGCCATGCAGGTCTTGGGTAGGCTGCTAATATGTGTGATGATTGAGGTTAGGTCAGCTGTCAGGTTAGTCAGGTTCAGGTATGCTCATTGCTCAGGTCACATTTTTATGGACATTTGGCAAATTAAAAACTAGCAATCTAATCTCAGCTAACCCAACTAAACATACACAACTATACTGACTATAGGAACTGAGCACCTACCTACTTGTGCCTACATCTCATACCACGTCAAAGTAGAGTTCCTTGGTGGAAGATTACCCTCAGTACTTTTTATCCCAGCCCTGTAAAGAAAACTAATACTTCTAAGCTCTGAGTCACTGCTAGCCATCCACAGGAAGAAACGCTGAGACTGAGAGCTTTGCCATTGTATATTGGACCAATAATGACTATCACGAATGACTATGAACACATAATATGATCACCTCGTTGCATGGATTGTCACATTGACAATCCTTCTTTGACAATCCTTTACTACAATCCTTTTTTCAAGAAATACAGTGATGATGATTAACATCAAAATCAACATAAAGTGGATTTAGTGATCCAAGCTTTCTCCTCCAGTAGCAATGGAATGATCGCATGTTTCATTTGCCAGACACTGAGTATACTGATGCACTGGCACATTACAATCTGCATAGCATCTAAGCATAGTAAAACTGCCCAAGTCCATTCATTCTAGATTTAAACTTGATAGTTAGCACTAATTTATCTTGCTGTTGTAAGTTATCATTCAATATTCATACCAATACATCAATATGCGCTCATCAGTCAACATTTTCTGGCATGATCCTGCTCAGCGTGCTCTTCAGTATTGCTCCAAGGTCTGCAATACTATAGCTTGTTTTTGGACAATAAGCTCTTTTAATTTTACTTTTTCCTGCTGATATATGAGCCCGATCAACTTGCGTTTATCAACCAAAATTTCATAACTTGTTCAACTTGATATTGATATTGCTCAGGAGTCAGGAGCTCTGTCAGCCTCCTGGATACTTAAGATTGTTTTCGGTAAAACTTCAGTTTTTTACATTAAAGAAACACAATTTTGATTTGTTTTCAGTCAACATGCTTCTTAAATATGATATAAGTCAATCTTCAGGGATTCAAAACGTCCAACAAAACGACGTACAAGAGCAAGAAAACCAACAGATAAACTAAAAAATGGCCTTGGAACAGAGCCAAGTGGTGCTCCATTTGTTTGTTTACAATGATTGTAGTGCTGATGTATTTTTAGGACTCTGAACGTCGGCTTATAAAAAATGAAACGTTTTTACAAAAGTTGTAAGGCAAGTAATATTTATCTGAAAGAACTAAAATATTCAAAAGCCAAACACTATGAAATACATGAATCGGAACGAAAAAGTAACCCAAAAATCCAGCCTAATCACCGACTCCTAAAACTGCAATACAATCAGCACTTTTCCCCGCAACTCGTTGTCCAGACGTAAATATGCCACATGCTCAAGGTAATGCTACCAAATCCCAACGCTCAGCTGACCACATTTCTTTTGTCATCTACTGGTGATCTTACCGCGAAGGAGCCCCTCTGGCTAGAAATTCGCGAGCTTCGCTGCAGATTCCGAGTACCGAGCCACCCATTGGTTCTCTCACGGCCTTGGCCGTCGCTCCTCCTGAGCGGAGTACGCGCGCGAGGGGGCGCGCGTGGAGGCCGTCCCGGAGGAGGTACTCCGTGCGCGGTGTGCGCCCTCGAGGCCGGAAATCACACCGACTGTGGTCAGTGGTGGTGTCTGTGCGTAGTGCTGTAGCTTTATCCGCCATCCAGAGGCACTGAAAATGCCAGTGTTTCACACGAAAACGATCGAGAGCATTTTGGAGCCTGTAGCTCATCAGGTAAGTTCAGTTCGTCTCTCTCTCGTCACCTGTCGAATGATGCCGATTGCCGGGGTGGATTTAGCTTGAGCTACGGGAAGTCAAAAGATTCGAAAACCGCTCGTCGTTCTCTCACTACCATCCTTGAATAAGAGGACGAATGAATGAATGAATGAATGAAAAGTGGGTGGATGAATGATTGAATGAATGAATGAATGGTTTGGTGAATGAATCTCTAAATGAGTGAAATGATGCATGTATGATGATGAATGAATAATTGATTGAATAAATGAACCAACGAATGAATGACAAGTGTACCTATCAGTCAATCGTTTATGTAATGAACTATTGGCATTTACTTCCGCCGTGCGTGCGTCTGGAAGGCATGTTGTTGTTGTGGTATAGGGCTAAGGGCCCGTAGCAACTTGGCTCTTGCGTCCAACTGGAAGGCATGGCGCCGTGCTACATTGGTGTGCATTCCCGCGCCCCGCTGGGGGGGGGGGGGCAGAATCTGCCCCCTCCCGTTTTTCGCCAATAACTTCTAAACGCGTTACGCCAGCGACGTCAAGCCTTCCGTACCCTATCATACATCAATTTGACACGTTCCCTGAAAATTTGAGCGAAATCCGTCGGAAAATGTTTGAGAAATTGACGTTTTAGTGACTTCATGTTTGCCATTTTCGCCTCAAAAACGGCAAAATTTCCAACGCCGCTAACGTCTTCATTTTTAAAGGAATCAAGACGTAACAAAAAAAGATTATACGTGATTCTACTTTGTCTATCAAATGGCCATCTTGATTTTCTGAAAATTTTGGATTTTTTTCCCAATTTTAAAAAAACTGACTTTTTGGGAATATAATTATAAAATCCAAAATTTTGAGTGTATCGCAAAAACCGGAGTATATGTCAGAGAAGTGGTCTATGTGCACTACTTACAAATTTCTAGAAGAATCGGTTCAAAAATGTGGGAGTTATTCAAAAATTTATGACGTCACGACACACAAAAATTTTGAAAAATGATTTTTTTGGAAGTTCCAAACCTCGTACGGAAACAAAAATAGCACCATTCTATTCGCCGTGAAAAAAACTGCATCAGATAGACACCTTTTTAGGCCTTAACCCTCGCCCGTATGGGGGGGGGGGGTCGAACGGACCCCCCATGGTTTTTCGCGAATAACTCGCGTAAAAAGCGGCCGATCGCGACGAAACTTTCAGTACCCTCGCATTCATCAATTTCACACCTACCCTGAAAATTTCATGACCCTGACCTAAATGACCTTTGACCTGTGACCTGCTTAGTGCTTTTCGAGACCATGTTTGGCTGCCCTAGGAAAAAAACCATCAGGATTTTTCTGATGGTCTGATGGTGCATGGAAATTGGCCCACTGGCATGGGTGAAACTTTGACATCACCATTGGGGTCCCAAACGTCCAAGGGGGCCTCCATTTAGTGGGGGCCTCCAAGCAATTAGGGGCCTCCAATTGCGGAAGCGGTAATTTACGAGCCACGCCAGGGCCTCCTCTAAGAAATTTTCATTGGGGGACCAGAGGCTCAGAAGCCAAACATGGGGTACCCCCAAATCCAGTTTTCTCATCGGATTTAGGCCACTTATTTTTCGTCACAGCTCTGATGCCATGATTTTTTTTAATATCGATAAAGAAATGATAGGTCACCTGACCCTACTGGTGGATCCAGGCCAGCAGGGTGACATTGTATGTAAATATCCCCCGCGGCATCCGAAATCGACGAAAATTTCTGGCTTTTTCACTTTTGACAATAAAACACAATGCCTTTATAATAGAAAAAAAATTAACGGCACAGCATTGCGCAAGGAATCTAGCCGTAAGCCGACCCCAGAAAGTGTGAGGGTTAACCTTCGCCGGCACCTGGGGGGAGGGTCGCCACCCCCAAGTTAGTTTTTCTGCTCTACACTTAA